TGTGGAGCTCTTGTCTCCCTTGGCACCCTATGCATCTTGGTGGGGGAAGGGGCAGTTGCCCCTTCCCCCATACCCCCATACCCCCTTACATGCATGTATACATGTGCTACCTTGCAGACGCCTCCAATGCATCAAGGGCAAAACGTTTGCTCTTGAAATACGTTGCCTCCGACCTGATAATGCACCATTGCCCCATTCCCCTTGGAATAAGTAAGTGCCCTGTTGTTGCAATTCCTTGGGGATTGTTATACGCTTAGCTTTCCTTGTCTGCATCTTATGGCTTTTTGGCCTGCCCTTGATTCCAGGCGTTCCGTTAGGCCGCGACTTGGAAGCAAGGGAAAAGCCTCTGTTAACGGGGCAATTGTATTATGTGCCTAAAGAGGAAACTTCATACATGCCGCCGATATAACTAGAATGTTTTCGTACTATTGCTTTGTGTGTGCAATACTACAAATAGAAGCGCGTATTCCTAGTTGCGGGCGAGTCACAAAAAGAACATAAGTGCAGACCTGGCTTTCACGCTCTGAAAGCGTACATTGCATCTCTGCTTCAAAGCCATTGCCATTACAGTTACCCTTGGGAGGCCAACCGCAGAAGTAGGGGGGCCCGGCGGTTAACAAAAAGGCAACGCCTGGAGGCATACATAGCAGCAAATACGCGCACGGTGCCCCATGGTTGCGAAGAGGACAGGGCCGAGACGGCAGCAGACATGCCTGCTGACCCAGTAGGAACTAGCTGGACGTACTTCGGCCCCGACCTGTACAAGCAGCTATGTGCCCGGCACAAACGAATAGGGAAGACAAATACCGAAGGCGCCCAAGCGATGAGGGTGAGACGCCTCCCGTCCCGCGTACAAGCCCTTTTGGACAGCAACACTGGGAGAGAGGCCGCATGGATCGGGGATCATGCAAATAACCAAACACCACGCACAGGGCTTAACGTGCGCCTGGACTTACCCGACGTGTACGAACCTGAAGAACTCTGGGGAGAGCTGCTGTCGGCCAACGCGGGGGCCTCACCCCCTCAGGCAAACGAACATGCGCAACACCTATTCACATGCGGCGAGGACCAGGGAGGGAGAGACGCGGAGGAAGGGGACCGACGTGAACACACAGAAGCAGGGCACGACGAGGGACGCAGAAGGACCAGAGCACGCGGCAGGAAACTTAGCGAATCACCCCGGCGAGACTGGCGGCTTGCGCGCCTACAATGCACAAGGGGCCCCCTCCCGGACATGGGTGCCGCAGAAGGATTTCGTCTCACCACCGCCCTATTCTCCCATAGTGATCGTGTAACGAGGATCGAAGCAATTATACGGAAAAGGACAAGGCTACCACCAAGGGCAGGGAAGAAACGCAAACCCTACACAAATGACGATGACGGCGCAGACAGCATGGCAAACACAACGCAAGAACCATCGCACGAAACATATTACCTGGTGCACTGGGCAAACACCATCGTCACCAGAGCGTCCGTGCCAGTCTTCCTGAGGCAAGGGTATCAGCCAAAACGGACAGTAAGTATCAGCAGGACGTTTGGATCGGGGGCATCTAGCAGCCTGGTAGAGATAGAGTGGATGCCTACGGAAGAACCAGAAGACAGAGTCGCCGTACAGGATAACTGGCCACAACTCCTGGAGCAGTACCGCGCCGAGCGAAGGACAGATGAAAACACGAAGAAACGAAGGGAAACGACAAGGGACGCACACCTTACCGAACAACAGCGACAAGGGCGATGGGGACCGGACCCCGCCAACAAGACTGGCCTCCAAAGACTGCTGCGGCAGGCGGTGGAGATAAACACCGAAGCCAGCAACCCAGATGTGGACATCCACCCCACTGGATCCTACAGAATCCAAGTTGGGCGGCTCCGCCAGCGATCCACCACTGACACCCACCTCGCCTATGTGTACGACCCACGAGGGCAGTGCATGGGAGCCCTAACCCTGAACCAACTCACGGCGCTGCACCATAGATACCTGCAGGCGAAGAGAGCGGACCCTGAGGAACATGCTCGACGCGCCGCCCCAGGCGGATTCCCTGAAGACATCGCCAGGCTTACCCTGCGATACAAGCCAGGGTGCCGATGTAAAAAGAACCCAATTGTCGGAGCTTATGAGAAGAGGCTAACGGATGAAACAATGGGGCGCATCAAGGCCGCATTCGCACACCCCGCAACATGGGTGGAACGCTTCGCATCCCCCTTTAACGTCGCCAGCTGCACAGAAGTCTATTACTCTTCCTTTGAAGAAGACATGGTCTTCGGTGCAGCGCATGATGCCTACTCCCAGCCTTTCACTGGGATATCCATTGCCTTCCCAGAGGCAACAACGCAGGCATGCATGCACGCTATACACTGGGCACTTGCATGGGCGCACGAGGCGCGCGGATCGGACGCCCCCACAGCGACCCTCGTCGTTCTCCCCCGCCAACCTACAGCCTTGTACAACACGCTTCTGTCCAACCCGCATGTGAAGTGGTTAGGGGAGGCGCCCCCCACCCACCCCGCGGCATGCTTAATACCGGACCAAGCAGCACTGGGGGAAAGCAGCGCACATGCCAGGAACCCATACGCACGAGGACTAGATTTCCTGCTGATAGGAAACCCCGCGGGCCTGAGATACAGCGCCGCCCTGCAACGAGAGCTTAGCTTAGAGAAGCCACGACATGCTCCCCACCCCCGCACGATCAACACGAGTGGGGAGGAAGAACATGAGCAACGCATAGCGGGCTGGAAGGCCCCCCAATGGGTAAAACGGAGAGTGCACCAGATGACAACATCCCCACCATCCCCACCTCACCGAACAGTCGCCACAGAAGACCTCGACTCCACCACGCTGACATCCTACTACCCCGCAAAGGTGTCACTGCGATACGACGCCTGCAACGGCATTTACACAGACGGCAGTGTGCAAAAGGATGGCAGCTTCAATCGCCTAGGAGCAGCAGCAGTAGACGCGTCCACAGGCAATACCACCTACATAGATGTAAACGGGGGCTGCCACGGGTGCCAGACGATAACAAGGTGCGAACTCAGCGCCATGCTACATGGGCTGCGAATGCGTGAAGGCACACCCGCGGCAGAGGAGGACCTTACCATATGGACAGACTCTGCTGCAGCACTATACCTCGTGAGAAAGGCTATCAACGGCCTCCACCAACCAGATAGGCTTCGATGGTGCAAGCATGTAGCAATTGTGGAAAGTATCGTCGAAATTCTCGCCCACAGAGCTAAGAAAGGCCTTAAAACATATCTCCTGAAAGTAAAATCACACATCGGTGTAACCTACAATGAGTCGGCCGACCAAGCGGCAACAAGCGTGGCGAGCGGTAAGAAGGAAGCCACGATAAAAGAAGAATGCGATAACAATCCCAGGAGCAAATACTACTGGCTGGTGTCTAAAAAGTCAGGGTACTACACCAACGACCTCAACGTTGGGATCGACAGAATCATGGACGACAGCGTTAGAGAAGGCTATGCCCGGCCCACTCTCTACACTGACCTCATTAAAAGTGCCCTCCCGGAAATAGACAGGAAATCAAGCACGAGAACACAGCAAGCCAGCGGTAACCGGCATGTCAAAATTAGACGGCTAATGTGCTACCTATATGGGTGCCTCTGGAATGCCAAGCTCGCACAAAGATACAACAGGCCCCTAGTAGGCAAGCACAATCATCAGGTGCGGAGCGCGGCTATATCCGACGCGAACGGCAATGAACATGCTCCCTGCCCGCTATGCGGGCTATCCGACTCCGGAGGCCATATCCTAGGGGGCTGCAGGCATTCGCTTATGCAGGCCATGTATATAAAAAGACATAACCTGGCAGTCCAACTGCTCACCCGTGCGATCGCGAAAGGTAGCAGTGGGGGATGCTTCATGGTCATGGACGCAGCTGCGAGGGATGCACTGCCTGAGTACATAGCTGATGACCGCCCTCCTGCGTGGCTGTTCGACGGGAGCGTGCCCGACAGTATAAGATTGAAGCTGCGACCCGACATCCTGTTCATTCCAAAGCTGCCCAGGCAAGCAACCGTACAACCGGGATACACAGGACCATGCAATAAGGCAAACTACACAGTACACATCCTTGAAGTTGGCTACGCTGCAGACACCAACCACCAGGCAAAACAAAACGAGAAATAGACCAACACCGACAACTAGCTGATCTCCTCACAAAAGCAGGGTGGAAAGTCCAGTACACCCAACAAGAAGCGATCAGCCTAGGATTCGGTGGGACGATACGCAAGGACTTGCACCCGCTCCTTCTCACTCTGGGTGTCAGCGCGCATGCCGCACGCACATGCTGCGACGCACTACATGACAATGCCATCAACTTCCTCAACGCCATAGTGAAGCACCGGAGAAGGATGGAACGAGGCCTCCCCCCAGAAGACCCAGGAGGGTAACACCCACCTACATACAACTACCCCATAGCGGTGGCGGAGGGTGTACAGGGGAGGGGAAACCCGTTGATCCTCACCACCAACCGCCCCCTTAAACCACGCCAGGGCAAGCCCGGCGTAATCTTATTATTATTATTATTACTGGAAGGTCCTTGTGTGTGAACTTGGGTGTAGTACATAATTTTCCTATAAAGCAGCGACGCAAACATCGCTTGTTAGACGACAACTGGAAACTCATCATGAATAGCAAGGCTGACTACTATAGCTCCTGACTACTGAGGACAATGTGCTGTAACAAAACCAATAGGTTGGTGTGTGTCGTACCCGAAGTCAAGCATGCAGAAGTCTTATAAACACAGGCGCAACATCGTTAAGGCTATCAGTTATAGTATGCAAGCGTAGTTGTAGCTTGCCCATTGTTAACGCCTTGCAAATCACTGACATCCGCATAGCTTTGCATACGATGTCACGCGCATTGCAGCATGGGCCGAAGTAAAAGAAACCACGAAGAAGTCAAAGCTTTGTGTAACGCCGCTGAGGCTATTAAAGCCCGCGGAGACACTGTTAGTGCCAAGCTTGTATTAGAATCCCTATGGCATACACCACCCCCGTAACTGGCCCGTAACCCCCTTTCCTGGGGCAGTAACATCGACTTTACTGGTCAGCCTTACTGGGGCTGGTAAGCAAGTAGCCCAGTAATCATACTATACAACCACAGGCCCTGCATTTATATAAGCTTGTTCGCCCCAGAATATATACCACCGTGAAGTTATCTGCTAGCACTTAAATGCTCAATATATTGTGTCCCAAGCAGCTTCTCTTTTATGGTTCCCACGCATGTTGGTCACGCCACCACTTGATTGCGACCCATATTCCTGATAAGCGCAGATCCACCTGGGAGTTGAACCCAGCAGTCCTTAAAGACTGGTGCCTTCATGGATCAGGCGGGCTTGAGCCCCTTACGACCCTCGGGTTTCAACCTTCATTGGGTGCCCCTTGATGTACTCGCTCCGTTGAGATCGTCAATAACCCTCTATTAAGCTAAAAAAATCACAACACGGCCCACACGCCGTCCCATGCCCTAAGCGCATGTTGTCTTAGCGCGGCCCTCATGTCATGGCATAGAAATGAATAAATCACAACACGGCCCATATAACATGACCGCTTTATTCCACCTTAATCCTCTCGCATATCCGGATACGGACGCAGGTGTCGTGTAATGTGCCAGTGCCGCGCCAGCATTACAAGCAACTTCTTATTGACATGTGGGTGCGGCAGGGCGAAGCATGGCCACGGCACAAACGCGTGAATAAAGCACCAAGGACCCTCCTGGTTTGGCATGGCCTCATCCCTAACAACAGGGCACCGCATCTTCCGGTCGATCTGTGATGTGGCATTTGGGGCTGTGAACCAACTGACCCTAAGCACTACGTGCTCGGCGTTGTCTGGTCCCTTGTGCACGAGGATCTTGTCTACACAACCGAAGCGCATCAACACCTCACCCCGATACGGCCTCCGCAGGAAGAAGCTCCCGGCGATTAAACGGTAGGGCCCAACCGACACCGACTGAAGCAACTTGCCAGCTCGCGCCATGACTAAGCCAGTGAGCGCGAGTGTACAGATTACGTAGCTCAGAGCTAGTTATGGGATCTAGGGCATAGGCATCGTTGCAGACACTGCCCTGCTTTATGGGCGCTGCGGATGTGAAGTAAACATCCGGAGCCCACAAAGAGGAAGGCTCTTCACCTGCCCCAACCCCGTCGTCCTGGCCACCATCTGCCTCATAACCTGCCTCTCCCAACATCAGCCGCGCAAGCTGCGTCATCTCTTTATCCAGCGCGCAGAAGAGCATGTTAGACTCCATGTGGGCCTTGCTGTGTGCCCATAGCCCTAGCAAGCCCCATATCGATTCCGGGTTGAACATTGACCATTGAACATTGCAGGTTATGAGGCCATCCGCGACGACATGCGGAAGTTCCCGCTCGCCCAGAAGCTGTGCATGATCTTCGTGCGGCTGTAAGACCGGTTAAAGCAATCGCCTAAACGTTGTGATAACCGCTCATGTGTAATACACATTGAAATAGGATAAATGTGTATGCGTTCTTTAAACGTATTCGCCTTCACTGTCCGGATCCTTTACTACCGTTCTCACATCCAAAACGTTCCCTGCCCAACCGCCCGGCTGGCCCCTCGTTGCCCACCCTTCCACCCCTTTATCAGTTTCATCATGCTGACCATCAAGTGGGAGGACATCTCAAAAGCCCTGGAGAGTCGTAAACCACGGGAGGGGTCCATCATCAACATATATGCCGTGTGCAACTGGTGGGGCTCGCAGCTCTGCCGGCTGATGACGGGCAAGAAGATGACGGACATGGTGGACGGGCGCCCGAACGCAGTTAAAATCGTGTCGGATGCGTTGCTGGACAAGATCCGGACTTACATGACAAACTACCAGTCAAGTGAGTCCTTTTATACTGGGGTAGTCGTTCTAATAAGGACTCTACGACGATCTTACTTAGCATGCCGTCTATCCTGTCATTCTCATAGTTAAAATTAGTTCCAACGCCATCTGGAGATTAAAACAACCAAATACGACTGACTGACTGTGATTGCGCAGAGAGCAAGACCTTGAAGAGCCTTGTCAAGCTACCGGACGATAAGTACCCGACGGATGCGGCGAAGGAGGCTGCCCTGCGCCGCATGCAGGAGGCCACCAAGGCGGAGTACAAGGCATTGGGCATCGAGGCAGCCACCAAGAAGTTCCGGGAACAGGTGAAGGAAGAATTCAGCAAAGTTACGCGATCATCGGCATCTGTTCGCGAAAAGGATGCTGCTGCTGCGGCAGGTGCGTACCTAACCTTGAACAGACCTTGAACAGACCCACGGGACGTCACGCACAGAAGTAGATGCCAAGCAGTTCATCATATTAGTTGTGCTAACTTGCGGCGTACCATCGCCTTACCTTCTTGTTAACGGTATCCATGCCGCAATCTTCCTTATGCCTCCAGCGCCAGCGCATCCGCTGAGCAAGCGTGCCGCAGCGCGAGCAGCAGTCGAGGTGGCAGCGACAGCGGCTGAGGAGGACGACGTCGAGGACGATGCTTATGAGGCTGAGGACCATGACGGCGATGACGACGGCTACGGCAACGGCCGCGAGGAGGAAGAGGAGGAGGAGGAGGAAGAAGATGAGGAGGAGGAGGAAGAAGATGAGGAGGAGGAGGAGGAGGAGGAAGAAGAAGAAGATGAGGAGGAGGAGGAGGAGGAGGAGGAGGAAGAAGAAGAAGAGGAAAGAAGGGCCCCTGGAAAAGTGCACAGTAAGTTTAGTATTGGCATGGGTAAGCATCATTTCCTAACCGTGGGTTGACTATCCAGGTGGGGTGGGTTAGCATCATTTCCGAACCGTGGATGTACTATCCAGGTGATATTATATGCTCCTACCTGTACGAAGCTGACTTGCGGACACGCACGGTTCAACCTACAGGCACTGCCCCATCCTCACGCAAGGCCCAAACGAACTACAAGCAGGGTCGTGGGGCGCAAGCGGTTTACTCCAGCAGCGAGGACGAAGAGGATGGAGGTGGCAAGCAGCACCGGAAGCAGAAGAGTAAGTGCTATCTGTGTTGGTGGGAGTAAGGCTTTTAACAACACCATTAGCGTTTGTGTTATTGATTATTAGAGCGCATGTAGTTGTTGAAGCTGTATTGAGTCTGTGTTCTGGGCTATCCTTGTAGGTGCCGTACAGCCGCCTGTGCCGGCGGTGCAGGACGGTGGCCGCTTACGCCGGCAGCCCAAGCTGACTGAGAAGGCCAAGGAAAACCTTGCGGAGAAGATCGAGGCAGAAAAGCGCAAGAAGGCGGCAACAGCCGTGAAGGACATGCGCCGCACCAAGGCACGAGAGTTGCCGCTGCCAAAGGACATGGGCGCGCATGGTTATGTGCCGGAAGCGACCGGCAACATGGGCAAGGAGGGAAAGGTGGCCGGCAAGCAGGGACAGAAGAAGCCAAGGCGAGCGTGAAGGGCAGGGGCAAGGGGGCGGGCGGGGGGCACCGGTTTCGGCACTCGCCTTAATATTCGGGACACAACTCTGTAGTGTGTTGCTTTCCTAGTAGTTTTATGCGTGTGTGGTATGAAAGGTGGCGTGTGTGCGCGAACTTGGTGTGTTAATTGGGGTATTACATGTTCCCTCCTTACAGGACGGATCCTGAGGCATGCTTCGTGTGCAAATCTTTGGTGGCATGTCTGGATGAGTAGGGGCTGGATTAGGACCCGGACGTTATGTCTGGCCACTGAACGGAAAAACCATTGCAATACAGACGTTCATTTAGGCCACAGTGCCTGCCTAATAACCATTGTAAGGTCTGGCCCATTACTGACCCATTACTGGCCCATTACCGGCCTGTTCACTGTCCTGGTAACTGTCCGTCATTACTGGCCCAGTTACTGGCCCTAGTACAATTACTAGGTTATTGGCCGGTAACCAAACTGAGGCAGTAACTTAACTACCCCGGTAAACTTTACTAGGGGGTTACGGGGGTGGTGTATGCCATAGGGAATAAGTTAGAGCCGACAAGCGATTTAGTGGCTTGACATTGCAGAGCTATAGTTCGGTTTACAACTTTTTACATGGCAGCAATGCTGGTCGTCGTTATGTGTGTCCTTTTTCGGACGATCTCTCCAGCTTCGGTATTGTTCCTCCAAAAAAGCGTACCAAGTGGACACCTGAAAACGAGACAGCTTTCCAGGACGCAGTTCGCGCTGTGCAAGCAACGGGAAGAAAAGTCACAGCTAATGCTGTCGCAAAGGAGATATCGGTACGTACATTACCGCATGCAGAAAGTGGCTACTTATAAATGTATTTAGTGAAGGCAAGGGGTGTTTGAGTTGGCCCCGCCCAACACCCGCATGCTGCTGCACGTTAGGGTCACCAAAGTACCTAACTTGGTACTTTGTACAGTACCTAAGTTGGCCTGCCTGTAATTTTACAAACTGCCCAGCGGCTGCATTTGCACAATAATGGTGCTACTTTGCATACCGTTTTCGGTTGTCTCCTCTACGATAAAAGAAGCTGCGCGAAGGTGTCAGTTCGCTTGAGCGACTGAGGCTGCGAAAGAGGGTTCTGGAATTCCCAACTAGTAAGGCCCGCCTTCGGCGGGAGCTATCCGTAGCTCGCGGGAGAGAGCTGACTACGAGTAGGAACGGCAGGTGATGTCGAGAAGGAAGAGCGGTTGCACGCATGTACGGCGTGGGGAGGCAGAAGGATGCTCCAATGCTTCACAGGAGGAGTGGCAGTGATTGTCGCCGAGGCTGCTAGGAATTAAACGGTTCGGAAGCACGAACGGCTTGATGACGCCGCGGAAACATGCAGTATATCAATGCATACAGGTGGTGGAGTGCGAAAACCTGTGCGTTAGTATAGAGTACTGACCCTACTAAGTACGGGCGCACTTGTACCGTCAACCCCGTCCGAGACAGGACACCGTCTCCGCCTTGTGCGTGTATACTTCCACACGTCCTGCCCGAAGCCCGGCGCTCTCATGCAGTCCCCGCACTGGCCCATTAACGAGCATGCACGTCCCAAGCCCCACGCGCCCGGTGCGTATGCGCGCAGAAATCCTCTCATACTGACGGGAATTGGCGCCCAGGCGCGCAAGCAACACCACCAAGCATCTGCACTCAGGCATCCCCGTCGAACCCACCCATGCGCCAACGCTGCTGCGTGAGTGCATACCTACCGACCCGGCAATAACACCCGGCACCGTGCCCTTTTAAGACCGTGCCCAATGATGTACACATGCATCCCCCTGCTAAAGTAGTGATACCAATGCGTGCACGATGCACCTACCCCCATCCTACACAGCCAGGCGTGGGCAACTCCAGGAACAGGAGGAGGCACGGACTGCGCAGGGAAGGGCCTGGGAAGAACACTTGTTGTCTTGGAAAGCAACGCGTTCGATGCTTAACGACGGGATGTGGCGTACACGCACGGAACACGCTCGGGATCCGCTACTCCTGAAGCGCAAGCAAGTAGAACAACCGTGACAGCATTCTACTTGGCAACAAATCCTGCGATACCGGTAATTCGTATCACAAAAACATCTACCTATGCGGCAATGCCGAGCGATGGCCCAACCTGCCGTGTCAGTCATCGGCGCCCACATGCGCATGCATCCCCACCCTTTCAAGCCGTCAGTGCTCAAGCGTGCAGACGTCCTCTCGTCCTGCCATGAACTGACGCCCATGGGCCCAAGCATTACTGCAGCTCCCAACCACCTTCGCCCAACCATGCATCAACGCCGATACAAGAATGTATGCGCACCCGGCCCATGCGATACATGCATGCATACCCGCCAAGCCCAAGTACAGGCGCCCATGCTTGTACGCACACTAACCGTGCCGAATGACCGCGCTGATGTAAACGCATGGACCCCGTGTACAAACAATCCTGCGCGCACGCAGACACCCCCTGTTCAAGTCAATTACCCGAAATCACGAGACCAGCGGCCCACCCTGCTCATAAGCTGGCACGTGTGCGTGCAGGATTGAATGCATTTGGAGGCAGGAACTTCGTGGGAAGGGCAGAGAGGCCACACATGGGCCCGCAAGAGGCCCGTAAGGGCGCTGCACCGAGAAGAGCCCAAGGAGGCAGGGCCGCGCGAGGAAGGTCAGCCGACAACATTTGGAGGCAGGCGCTGCATATGGAAGGGCACCGATGCCCCAGCAAGAGGCTCGCAAGTTTGCTGCACGGGGACACGAGTGCCACGTGGGGAAGTGCAGTTGTATGGGTTAGGGCATTGCTTGGGAGGCAGCAGTTGCCGAGGAAGGGCAGGAGGGGCAAGCGCGCGCCTCATAGGAAGGGCATTGGGAGACAGGTAGGTACAGCACGGGGAGGTCGGCACTGGGAAGAACTTAGGGGAGCTGGCGCCGCACATGGAAGGGCATCGTGACACATCACCACGCACGGGGAAGGGCACGGACAGCCAGACATTGCACGGTGAAGGGCATGGGTGGGGCGCAGCACCGGCAAGAGTTATTAGCTTACTCGAGGAACGTGCAATGACAGGAGCCAGGCGCCGCGCGGGGAAGGGCATGTGTAGATTACTTGGCTTCTTGAAGAGCGACGGATCTACGTCTACACTGAAAGGTGAGGACACGTCCAAGGACGTGGCGTAGCCGCACCACGTTCGGATACCTCTATTCATGAAACCCAGATAAGCGTTCAGCAGGTGTGGAAACCTCGGGGCACCAACCGTTACATTATGTAAATTGGCAACATAACATCTACAACTAAAAACCCATCTACGCGACAGGGACCGAGCGATGCTGATAAACCAAGACGAACCGATGATGGCTGGATTGCCGACTCGACGCACTTTGGACCGCCGGGAAAGACAGCCGCCTGCTGTAAGCAAAGCCGGCAATACCCGCATGGGAGGCTGACGACCCCAAAGCCGGTAATGCGCTGCGGGAGAGAGCGCCGGAAGGCATGCCGACCCCTGCCGCGGAGGTGATGTGCTGCGGGCAGACCAGCTCGCCCCTTAATAGTCATGCACGTCGCCGCACGAGAGGCCGCCATGCCCTCTGCTGGGCCGGGATTTCGCTGCTGGAAGGCATGCTAACTACTGCCAGGGAGGAAAAACGCTGCGGGCAGGAAATGCGCATCAGGAGGGAACGCTGCATGCTCCCTGCCAGGCCAGTAATGCGCTGCTGGACAGCACATAGCCCGCTGGTACTGCGCTGCGAGGGAGAAGCTGTCACTGCCAGGCCGGCAATGCCCTGACGCCGCCTGCTGCTAGGCCGGTAGCGCGACACCCGCTTCGCTGCGGGAGAGGAACATATGTTGTGGAGGGGACGGGCGGACGCGCAGGGAAGGGCATAGAAGGGCATGCGCAGCGCGGGTAAGAGCAAGGGTAGGCAGGCGCCTCACGGAAAGGGCGGGCGTTCAGGGAAGGGCAGGGGGGAAGCACTGGGGCCGCAGGGAAGCGTGTACAGGGAAAGGTATGGGTCGGCCGGCACCGCATGGGGATGGGCAAGGAGCTGCAAGGGGAAGGGCGGAAGGCACCGCGCGTGGGAGGACAGATGGAAGCATGCGCAGCGCGGGGAAAGAAGGGCGAGTCAGGCTCCGCACGGGAAACGATCCAGAGGCAGCCACGTTTCGATGATCTGCTATTTGGTAAGAACCTGCGAAGGCCGGCACGTCATCGAAGGACGGACGCACGACTACGTCGCCGACACCCCACCGCCGTCCAGCTTCCTGTCGAAGCGCCACTGTTAGTTCCGAGGTCCGCTATGTCCTAAATGTGACAACTCTAGTAGCTAGCGCACCCTAATAGACGCCTCACTGGCTGTCATCGAGCATTTTCCTACGTCCAGCAACAGCTTGCTACAATGAATTTTTCGCTGTGTTTGTTTGCTTGATATATGCAGACAATGAATGAATGACCGTTACAATGGTGCCCTAAAAGGGAACACGGGTGATGAACCCAACCCTACATTGCAAAAGAAACGGAACAAACCGTAGAGACAGCACCACAACGGGCCAACAAGATGGGAGACATAGCCCTAAAAGAAACCTCAGGAGGGAAACAAGAGGGTAGAAGCCAACAAAAGGCCCCTCAGCAAACCTCGACAAACTTCATCTAGATAGGGCATAAGACAACCCAAACCGGAAGCCACGAACACACCACCCCAAAGGCATCAGGGCCAAAAAAACAGGACGCTCAACGGCCCACAGAAAACCGCCCGCCAACAATACGTAAGAAAGGATGAGAAGGGCCAACCCCAGCCCATCCCCGACGGGGAACACCCAAACAAGCAAAACCCCGAAGCTGACCCCAGAACCAGGAAACAGCAGACAGGGCCACCACAGCAGCAAGCCCAGGCAGACAATAATGTGTCATCGTCGGACGTAATTGGCGCCTGCAAGCCACAACTAGGCCGCGAATATTTGCCAATTCTTAACTCCCTGCTGAAACAATAGTGCGAAAACTACTGGACGTCATTAGCGCTGCACGGGAAGCTGGACGTTTAGCTCTCGCCGTTTGAAAGCGGTTAGAAGTGCGTTAGTCAAGATTTCCCTCCCTGGAGCGTGACCACGGAGACCGTCTATGCTTCCCTTAGCTTCGCTCCGGAATCGTACAAAAGTACGTTTCCTTCAACGAGCTACGGGGACCGACCTCCAGCCGGCACTGTTGCCCACTTGTCCCTGTAGAAAGGTCTAGAGACAAGAATGCTACACCATATTATATTCATTCAAAACCCCGGTGAGCCCAAAACTGGCCACCGTTGGCCCAAACCAACAGTTAGCGGCTACCCCGCTGAATCACAAACCTACTCAGCGAGGCACTACTCGCCGCGCAAAAACGGTGCCCCGCTGACACGAAACCCCACTGAGCCGAAGACAGCAAATGGAAGCCTCGCTGACCAGCAACCGCCAACCGACCCATGGGACGACAGCATTGAATCCGTCCCATGCAAGGTCTCCTGTTCAAACCCTGACTCGCGTAGAAGCCAAAACCCGTGCCGCAAACAACCAAGCAACTATAAGAACGCGTGCTTACCGCCGAAAACCTCTGATGCTAACAATAAGTGAACACGAAAACATGTACCTACTGTCGAACATGCCACAGTCCCCTCTCCTATATTAACATCAAATCCGCTAGATTGTTGCAGGTGGTGAGCGTGTCAGGGTGGTCAGGCCCCAGCACCCGCTCCCTGTCCTTCAAGCACCGCCGGTACAAAGCTGCTGCCTCTTCGTACCTCATCTCGGTTAACAGCGAATTCGCTAGATTGTTGCAGGTGGCGAGCGTGTCAGGGTGGTCAGGCCCCAGGACCCGCTCCCTGCCCTTCAAGCACCACCGGTACAAAGCCGTTGCCTCTTCATAATCCATCTCCGACAGCAAAACCGCATAATTGTTGCAGGTGGTGAGCGTGTCAGGGTGGTCAGGCCCCAGCACCCGCTCCCTGTCCTTCAAGCACCGCTCGTACAAAGCCGCTGCCTCTATATACTTCCTCTCAACCCTCAGCAAAAACGCTAGATTGTTGCAGGTAGTGAGCGTGTCAGGGTGGTAAGGCCCCAGCACCTGCTCCTGGCTCTTCAAGCACTGCCGGTACAAAGACTCTGCCTCTTCATGCTTCCTCTCATCCGACTGCAAACCCGAAACATTATGGTAGGTGGAGAGCGTGTCAGGGTGGTCAGGCCACAGCACCCGCTCCTGGCTCTCCAAGCACCGCCGGTACAAAGCCGCTGCCTCTTTATACTTCCCCTCAACCCTCAGCAAATCCGCTAGATAGCTGCAGGTGGCGAGCGTGTCAGGGTGGTCAGGCCCCAGCACCCGCTCCCTGCCCTCAAAGCACCGCTGGAACAAAGCCACTCCCTCTTTATGATTGATCCACTTCGACAGCAAATGCGCTAGATTGTTGCAGGTGGTGAGCGTGTCAGGGTGGTCAGGCCCCAGCACCCGCTCCCTGCCCTCCAAGCACCGCCGGTACAAAGCTTCTGCCTCTATTAAATCGAACTTCTCTGACAGAAATTCCGCTAGATAGTTGCAGGTGGTGAGCGTGTCAGGGTGGTCAGGCCCCAGCACCCGCTCCCTGCCCTCCAAGCACCGCTGGAACAAAGCCGCTGCTTCGTCAAAACTCCGCCTCTCCGACAGCAAATAAGCTAGATTGTTGCAGGCGGTGAGCGTGTCAGGATGGTCAGGCCCCAGCACCCGCTCCCTGCCCTCCAAGCACCGCTGGAACAAATCCGCTGCCTCTTCATATTCCCTCTCATCCGACAGCAAAACCGCTACATTGTTGCAGGTGGAGAGCGTGACTTGGTGGTCAGGCCCCAAGGCCTGCTCAGTTTCTGCCAGGGCATGCCTGAACAGTCGCTTCGCCACGTCATGGTCGCTATACCGGTATATTAGCGCCCCTGCAATGATTATCCTGTGTGCGCCTTCCTTGGTCCATGGGGTACCAGGTCGGGGCACCTGGGCGACAGCTGCTGCCACCAGGGCGTCCTTGAGCATACGCGTCATTTCCCTCAAGTGCACGTTCCGGCCGATGTCTTCCAGGATGCGATCCCGGTCAGCCGTCTTGAAGGCCTTGGCATGACGGATATCCAAGTCCCAAAGCACCTAAGCACGGTGGAATGAGGGTGGCAGGGATTACCCCAACGATAAACGCGTTTGCAAACAAAAACAAAACGAACTAAACGATATCCGTGTTTGTTTAGCTTTCCTGTAAACGATGTCGTACCCTCAGGGTGGTGGTCCATATCAATATTTGGCGGAAGGAGCGTGTATAACGTTACAAACATGCTGACCTGTGTTGTGCAACGTGCCTTGGTGCCCTGAGAGTGTCTGGCGACGGTCATAATGTGCACAAGCATCAGGCACAGTCTTCTAGCCACTGCTTTGCTGGCCAGTTACCCTCCTTTGCTCCCCATCTTCAATCCACGCCAACAACACGCACCTTTTCCAGGCCTGTGCCCGACAAGTTGTACGACAGCAGCTCGAATGTGTTGGGCCCCGCCTTCATGCTCTGCCACGCCTCGTACAGGCACCAGATGCGGGTCAGCACGGTGCCTTCCGCGTCCAGGACCATGAGGGTGCACTCGGCATCATGGACGGCCTCAGCTACAGCCGCCAGGTCGAAGTCGGTCTCGTCCGTTATCTCATGCTGGTTCTGCTCGAGGGACATGCAGGTGGGGACGGGTCAGTGGGTTGGGATGGGCTGACTATGAGGACTAGCGGTCAAGTGAGGTGCGGCCATGTTGAGGGGCAGTCTGCACAAGCTGCTGGAGTTCATTGGAGCAGCTTGCCAGCGGTCGCCCCGCTGCCCCACTCACGATGGCAAATATGTCGAGCCACACGAAAACCTCCTCGTCAGACAAAGGAGGCAGTGCCTGGCCGTCCCTCCGCCGCCACATCCGCTGCTGCTCTGGCTTGAAATGGTGGCACACCATGTCAAAGGTTTCCATACATGGCCGGCTCCACGCATGGCTAATGAAATAGAAAGGCTTGCCCTGTGACACGGCTGCCTGCTGTCCGGCATCTTGCAGCATCACCTCCGTGTACCCGTAGCGGCAGTCCGCAGCAGCAGTAGCTGGTTTGATAATATCACAGACCAACTGTCTGGTTGTCAGCTTCCGCTCACTGAGCTTGTGCTCCTCAACAAAGCGCTTTAGGAAGGCTAGGGATACGGCAGCCTGACACAGCAGGGATGGGTGTGTAAAAGAGAGAGAGAAGAGATTATGCCGATGCAAGGACTTCAGGGGCCTTATTGTGACAGCTGCAGTGCTTTCAAGTACTGGAAAACCAATGCGTGCAGAGGTCAGTCACTCAAATACCCGATATAATGCAGGGGCACGCGAAATGGGAAGCGTCCGATGGGGTGAGCTTGTCGCTTTACGAGTTGCATGCCCTAATTGCGCGCCCGAAATCCCACCCTCACCCTCGAGATATGGCGCTCAGGGTGTGCAGCGGCGGTACTAACGTCATCAACCTGGGAGCCATTCGTGACAACTTTGGTACCCGGCTCGACCGCCTGGACACCAGACTCCGCCTGCGTTATTAGAAGAAACGGTATACACTTAAGAGGCAGGGCAGGAGCACATGCTTCTCTTGTCCACATGCCTTCCACGTACGACCAGCATGCCTTGATACCAGTGCAAGGTCTTTCATGCACCCCTCCTGCTCACCTCCCGCAGTTCCACCTTGGCCTCATCGCAGCCCTTGACGTCCTGGAACGTGCGAACAGATGGGCGGCAGTGAGGGAAGGGGAAATTATAGATAAGTGCAGCAACTCCCAACTAATGCAGTGAGCGCCTTCGAAGACACTATTTTTAAAACACGCAACTCAGAAACTTACCGCATGCTTGCTTACCAGAAACCGAGATGGCTTGAGGAAGAAGCCGCCTTGCATAGGAACACTAGTAAGGCATGTGCCGCGCCACCGGTCACTAATCCTAAGGGAGCAGGGCTATTGGCTATATAAGTCGCATTACGGGAAAATTTACCTGGAGAGAGAATACCCAGATGGCCATGGGCGTAGATGCAGGCCAGCAATGCCACAACAGGGCATGGTCCACCGCCGAGTGGAAACATGAGAAGAGGTTGTCAATATGCAAGATGAAAGGGAAAAAGGAAGCAGGGCGCGTTAAGGAGGTGTTGAGATGCGCGACGACATTGAAAACAAGTCAGTATGACTAGGGCATTCTATAGACACGGCGGCGCGGCATTGGAAAGGAAGGAGTGGTGGTGGGATGGCCATTACCGTTGGCTCTTGGCCTGTCAACGGCATGCAGTAACATGCCACTGTGCTGGCTTTTGAGAGACGTGTGTACGCTGCTTCCTTGATCACTGCAATCTGCTGCAAGCGCCACATGAGGATCGTTGTGTTCGAAGGCCTTCCCTAATATCGCTCTGATACGTGTGCACATCACGGCTTTGAGCGCGAACACACGCATCAGCAAACACGGTTTGACTGCGACTTTAATGGAAGCTCTACAAACAGCGGTCACAGACACATTCTGTGCACGTCGCTCAGATGGCAACCCGCAAAATGTGCTAAAAACATTCGCCAGAACGATAGGGAACAGAATTACACCTGAGCCGATATTGGCAAAGGGACGCATTGAACGCTTCAAACGTACACGTATTGCTCCACCTTCTGGGCGGAGTCCCCGCCGTGAAGCGGCTTCGGGAGGGCAAAGCTCCCCAGGATTACCCTGTCCGTGTGTCCATCCGCCCGTCAGTGTGTCAGTGTGTCAGTGTGCCCGTCAAATCATACAAACCAGACATGGTTGGTCAGAAACGCATGCATGGTGGTAGTGTATTATCGGGTATGGCGGCCAAGCGAGCTGATGTGGAGTAAGTGCATTGTGCAAGTAAGGCAAAATGTGAAGTCAGAGAGGTTTTATGTAATGATTGACAAAGAAACCCCCGCTTCAAGGGCGCCAAATCTTGGGTGAAGCCGGCCACTTCAGTGGTGGCCATGTTGTGCGTGGGAAGCATGGGGCATCTTGCTCCTCACTTTTCCTGGCATGAGTCACGTTTGACGTGAAGCCACGATTATTACTTATAACGAGCGGTAACGGGATGCTTCCCATCAGGACCCAGATGGATAAAAGGCGCAGATAGAGTTGTGGGCGGTCTCGCCTGGGAAGGTCTCCACACTGCAGACTGAAGCAATTACTTCCAGTACGCATTTGCTTTAGTTTTGATTGGCACTAATTTGGGTTTGGTTGATCCCCCTAGTAGATGTTTGGTTTAAGGATAAGGTAATCAAGGATTTTAATTTCTGGTTTAGTCTTAAAACTAAATCGGTTGGTACAACCGGGCTCAACCACAGCTCAAAGACTCTGCGCCGCTCTTTTTGCTAGGGGAAGGGACACGGTGTTTTTTGTGGCGTGTGGGGGAGTCAACGTCTGAACCGCAACTCAATGACGCACCAATGAGCGCCTCAAGCATGGCTCAATGACATGTCAATGAAACCTCAACTTGGGCTGAATCACTCCCCAACCACGATTCAGGTCCCCCCCCCGCCCCCAGGACTCATTCACGTTGCAACACAGTTTCAATAGCATGACTCATTCACGTTGCAACACAGTTTCAATGGCAGGCATCAAACAAAGCAAATAGTGTCTCAAATAGGGCACGTTTGCACACTATTTGGACTCTAAAGTAGGGGGTCGCAATCACAGTACGTTTCGCCTCGCGGCCAGTTATTTTAAGACACATAAGGTCAGACACCCAAGGTAGCAGTCCTATAATCACCAGTGCTATTTGAATGATGATGGTCGTACATACACAGGCACTCATCTCATCATAAATAGCCAGTCATGCACAGATGACTGCCTAAATGCCATGCCATAATTCCTCATGCATGCCCTCTTCCTCCCCACCACATGCTCTACACCAAAAGCGGACTCGCCATAAGATAAATACATATGTCTAATGTTGATAGTCTGGAAAGGAAATGACCTCCAAGCTAGGCAAGGGGTTCAGCTTCCGCAAAGGTGGAAAAGGGCGGAGCCGCCCCTCCTCAGTACAGGAATGTATTACGATAACTGGAATGTCACGGCATGTGCTCCTGTGACTCCACGGCATTTGTTGACCTAGCACACCTTGCACTCGGGCGGTGAACCTCCTTGTTTACAAAAAGTTGGCTAGGCGAGCTCAGAGCCACTTGTCCAGTCGACGCTGGCTACCTTGTTCTCCCATAGTGCACATAGCGTCCTAGCCCACATTTCAAGCTTAAGACTGTTCAATCAAGAACTCTGTAACATCTCATTATGCCGCATAGCACCCACGTAGTAGGCTACCGAACCCAACGGAGTAACTGTCACACGGTAATGAAATCTGGGTCCCGCATGTCATTTCGGCTTCGACTCATTGCACTGTAACATGGCATGTTGGCTAATAGGCGAGGCACCCGTTCACGCTATAGTTCATAGGCTTTATAAGGTGGCTGAGGATTCCGGTATCTAGCAAAGGCCTGCGGCATTGGCGCAAAGGCACGTGTGGGCTCCGATTGGATGCAAGCATGGTCCCGCCGACTTTCACAGGACACTTTCCCTTTGGCAGCACGCTGCTGCTGGCAATTCATTAAGATTAGTTACGGTATCGGGTAAACATCATAGGTGAACGGTAATCGGTGTCATCACCGCTGTGGTCCTTCACAACGGCTGGTCAATTGCGGAAATAAATTTTTATATATTTGACAGGGAATTATTGTTACTCAGTAGAGATAACGTACCTTTTAATTGCAAGTGATAGTTTTGCCTAGTGTGTATGCTTTGCCGTTACGGACGGACGGACACACGGACGTGGGCAATCCTAGGGTGCATAGCCCCCCCCGTCCCAATGGCACCGCTTCACAGCGGGGGTTCCACCCAAAATTGAGAAATCGGTAGCTGTTATAGCGGCATAGCAGCACAGCGATTGGAGTTCGCGGGGGCCTTCCATGAATATGTATGAAATGCACGACAGCCGCGCCAACCACCGTCCCCTATTTCCTAAGTTTCCTAAACTTCTTAAAGAGCAGTGGCAAAAACACGTGCACAATGTGGAGAGTAAGCAGTGCGAGTATATCCCCTAATTGCTTCTTTGTGGCAAATAATTAAGCAGGTAAGGGGCAATCAGCTGCAATAAAGGACACCTGCAAACTGTGGTTGCTAACCTTATCCTTGGTGTCCTTCACCGCAAGTAGCATCTCCACCACCTCCGTGTGGCCCTTCTCGGCAGCCAGGTGCAGAGCTGTGAGCTTTGCCTGTGACCCAGCACCGTTAGCAAGGGCTTTAGCGGATGTTTGGACAACATTTGTATGATTTGCACACAAAATACATGGGCACTCGGCATTGCAAGCATGCACACCTTCTTCACTAATGCCTCCTTGCCGCAAATTGTTAAGCAGGGAGGCCAGCGGTATGGATTTCATCTCATTGAAAGTGCCAGACAACGAGACCCTGGAGAAAATAGCTGAAGCCTGGATTTAGCTCTGGAATTTATTATTTGGAGGCTAGGAGCTAGGGTGGTTCAGGCGTCAGAAACTATCGGATCGTGCCTCACAGCTATAGTTTGACGTCCCTGCTACGATAGTGAAAGGTAATGCGCTGAGGCTTTCTAGGGCATGGTCTCGCCGACTTTCAATGCTTGACATCGGTATTAACGCGAGCGGCACAAAAGAGTGGTAACCGGTACGGCCGCAGCAGTCCCTCTAACATGTTTGATATTCGATGGCTTACCTTATTTTTGGCCTCCCTGTCAACTCCCGACCTGAGCAGTGCCTCCACCACCTTCACGTGGCCGTTAAGGGCAGCGAGGTGCAAAGGTGTGTTGCCATCCTGTGACCCAGCATCATGAGCGTGGAACAGACAATGGTTAGATAGTACAATGCTCGAGATGGTTTCAGTCTTGCTGCTAAGCGCTGACAACTGAGGATGGACAGGTTACACGGTCAGCATGCAACATCCTAAAAATGCTAACTAGCCGTCGGGTGTGGAGAATGGTGTAGCTGCACGGGTGTTTTTGTTCATTTTATGCTTTAGTAAAATGTATCGCCGGTTGCGTCAAAATAATAAAGTTGTCTTGAAAATTAGCGCGTGCGCGCGCTTAAGCAGCCACCAAATGCTACAGCACCAACAGCGCGATGGTTTGTCCGCGCTGAGGCAGCAGATGGGGAGCGCTACCATAGCCTCAAGTATAACCGTGACACTGCCAGGGAGCGACGGCTGTAGCACGGGGCGAAGCCCAAGCAGATGAAGTTGAGAAAGCAGACAACAGGCCATTTGACCGGCTTTGGTGGCTTAAAGGAACACAGCATGGCATGTACGCGGCAGACCTTAACAAAGGGATTATGAAATTGCTACCAGGGAAGACTCACCAGGGGTACACCAAAGACACTTTTTACACGCAGTGCTGGGAAGAGAAGGGAAAGGAACTCTGCCCCAAAGCGAGCAACATCACCTTTAACAAAAGAAATGCACACAAACATGCTAAACGGGCATTCGACGCCCGCTGGGGACAGCTCTTCCACGAAGGGCTGCGTCAGCGCTACAAAATGCCCGGGAAACGCCGACACACGTGGCACGCAGACGCACCGCTTGAAGTCCGCAACTCTGGAGCACCCTGCCCCATCTGCCGCAAGGCGCGCGACTCAGGCGGCCACATCCTAGGAGGATGCACCGATCCGCGCATGCACGGCCTGTACTGTGAACGTCACGACGGTGCAGTACGCGTAGTGGCTGAAGCAATACACCAAGGAAGGCATGGGGGGAGCTACATGGTGATGGACGCCGGTAGCGAACGGGATCTACCTCACTTCGTTGATAGCAACCGTCTCCCTAACTGGCTCCGGCCCCAACATGTTGAGGAAGCAGACTGGCGGAAAATGCGCCCGGATATCCTCTTCATTAAGGGGCTGAAAGCCCACAACGACAGGCGCAAGCGACCCAGGGACCCCACTGCTTACGATGTCTACATCCTAGAAATTGGGTACGCCGGCGACCTACGCCACACTGAAAAGCAGCATCAGAAAACTGAGCAGCATAGACGCCTCGCAGCTGTGCTTCAGCATGAGGGCTGGAATGTCCACTACACCGCACAGGAGGCCATCAGCCTGGGTGTCGCCGGCACTATCAGGAAAGACCTGCACAAGACACTAGTCGAAGTCGGGGTAAAGCCCAGCCATGCCACAAGATGCTGTGAGGAACTACACCACCACGCCATCCACTACTTGAACAAAATAGTGCTCTGCCGACGCATCCTTGAGCGGGAGACCCGAGCTGTGGCAGTAGGGTAAACTTAAGGGGTTGAATAGCTGCTCCCGGCGGTGGTGCTGGCATACAGGGGCTAACCCCCCTCACTGCCTCACCCCCTTAACACACGCCAGGGCTATGCCCGGCGTAATTATTATTATTATTATTATTATTATTATTAACCGTGACACTGGTCGGTCCAGCTGCTGGGCAGTCGTTGAAATCGAGGGCGGGGAGGGCAATACCCGCCTCCAAGCGTACATCGCGTGCATCAAGTACTTTGTTAGCATCCCCGCCTTCCCTGACACCGGAGCACAAGCTGTGAAGATGGCAGTCACTGACCTCTACTCTGCAGCGAGACTGGATTCAGGCCTGCTTAAGGTCAACATGACCAGCGCTCGGTTGCAGCCTGACCGGACCCCAGCTGGGCCTCGCGCGGGAGAGCGGCGTGGGGATGCAAGGCGTGGATCTGGGCAGTGGAGAATGTGGCCCAACTACGGGTTGCCCATATCTTTGCTGCGTGGCAAGGTATGCCTGGCGGTGGAGGGGGCCAGCACTGAGCAGGGAGACATGTACTTTATGCCGTATGGCCACTCCACCGTATGGCCACTCCACAGTTAAGCATATATGGCCCGCCTTGGCGTCCTGGGTTGCTCGTATGCCTGTTGCGAATTGCATCACTGTGCACGCGTGTCCTTGTCCCAAACTGCTGCCGAATCGCCGCATGCTACCTAGCAACCAATGAATGTGCTGTTGCTTCTGGGAAATCGAGGCTGCAACGTAGTCCAAGGCCTGCGGCACTAGGTGTGTTGGTGGCCTTTTTGCTGCCGTACAGGCGGGGGCAACTTTGTTTAAGGGCATACTTGTGGGTAGGCGTTTAGGGCCATGCGCCAGCCATACCCTGTCCTGCCAGCCGGCATGCGCTGGTTAGGTTGCTGGCATGCCTATGTATTGCGGATTGCGTCTGTGCTGTTGCTTCTTTAAAAATCGAGGCTGCTATGACCAATTGGCTTCGTATTTTGTGGAAGAAGTCCGGTCACTTCGATATGAATGTTTAACATGGGAAATTAATGAACTTCGTACCCAAGCGACGAAGTTCGTATGTTGTGATCTTGGTTCTTGTCTTTAATGGACCGCTGTAAGCATGCTCACTTCTTAGCAGCATTGCCTGGAATGGTTAGTAGGGCGACATCGTGTTCTTGACACGAAGGGGTGAGGTGGGCTTTCATGTGGGGGTCGTGTTCGTCTACGTAATCAATACGAAAAATGTGCGCACCCATTCAGTGGCGTTCGTCTTCATACATTACGTCTTGAGTTGACAACTGGAAGTCACCCGCCATGCTGTTTCCCTTTGTGCATACACTTGCATGCAAAGGATTGATCACACGTACGGTATGAGGTGCCGGCACTGGCAACCCTCAGGTGCATACATGTAACCTTCGTATCTGCAAATGCCCTTTACGAACGCTTAAATACGAATATTATGGCATACACACACGGGTGAAATCGATGCCCAAAAGTCACGTGTCAAGTAGAAGGTATGAAACCAGTAACCTAACGCCAAGGTTTCACATAAGGCGCCCAAACGTACATTCTTTCGTATATGTACGTTCGTAAAGGGATAAGGGATTGGTACGAAAGTTGAATACGCTCCATTTGGCGTTCGTATAGCCCATTTCGTATACTTTACGAGCCTTGGCAAATATACGAACATGAGGCGTTCCCAGAGTGAATGCGTGGTAGAAAGCTCCAAATAAGCAGCAGCAGCAGGCAGGAGCTCCCGCGGATGGAGGAGGCGGATGGAGGAGGAGGCGACGGAGGAGGAAGCTTAGTAGTAGTGCGGTTACTAGCAGCAAGGTGTTGACAGGTTTGCGTTTGGTATTGTTTGCATGCGTCGGGAGCACCGGGGAACACCGGGAATATAATAGCCGGGGAAGTTAAATATTGCCAGAGAAAATCCCGGCGCCTTTGGTGAAAAACGTTTCAGTTGCGCGAGTTAAGAGAAAATGCTTTGCCTTGGACGCCCCTCGTTTGATAGGCAAGGACAACAGAGCAACGCACAGGATGACCCGCCTCATCACCTCCTGAAACTCCTGCACGCCAGCCATCGTTGCAGTGTGCTGTGATGGAAGAGGTGGTTGCCGTCCAGCCTCCTCCAGCACACTCAGGATTGTCTGGATGGACTTCAGCTCTTCTTTGTCAGCATCGAATGCCAGCATTAGGTGTGTTTCCTCCTCTGGTTGAGGGTCGGACTTCCTGCCGGGAACGTCACCATCTAAGCTGGGGCCGGGAATGGGCTCTTCAGGGAACGGGCTTTTCTTTTTTTGCACCACCGGGTGGAAGCGTGCGGTGCGCAGCAGCACGTCCGCCAAAAGGGGGTTATCCAGCAGGGCCTTCACCTCGGAGCATGCCACCTGCAAAGATAAGAAGAGCACAAAGGTTGCATAAGATATAAAAAGGGACAGGGTTCGTCCAACCTTGTTTGTAACGTTTGCCATCATGTACTTAGCTTTACGATACCATTTGCTGGAACAGCAGCAGGTAATGGGTGGTAAATGTATATGCTTGACAGCTGCATTTTCAATCTACCCATTCCCTTTGTTTTTTCCCTTACGCACCCGCCTGGGTGTGATACTCCCTGGCTCCTTTACAACACCGCTTAGCAGCTCTTTTAGCTGCCCCAGTGCAACACCATCCTCTGCTGTTGCCTTATTCCCGTTCAATAAAGACAGGCGGCTGATGAGGGGATCCATGCCTGCTTCTGTGCCATCCCTGGATGGCACAGATACCTCGACGTTGTCAGGGTCCTGAGTAGGGTGGCAGAAGGGAGGTAATGAGAGCCTAGGCCGATGGCACAGCAAGAATGATTGCACACCAGCAGCATTGTTTCACATCATCCCGCCCGGGACTGTGTGTGCACTGAAATCCGTATAGTTGAAGGTTATCCCGCCGATCCCTAACAATCACGCACCGTGAAGAGATTCCAGCACGCTAGCTGCGTTTCGGTGCTGCCATCGCCGACTTGGGTAATGATTAGCCGCACTCGCCGGACCAGCGGGGCGGCAGCACCCGCAAAGGATGTGAAGCGGGTGAAGGCTAGGGTGTGGAAGCACCCAGGGAAAACCTGGCTCCTCCGCTCGTCCAAAAGAGTCCATTGGTTCTGACGCCCTAGTTAGGGTGGGTTACATATGTGTTGTCATGTTTTTTATTGTCGTACACCTACATACATGACTTCGGAGCATCCAACCTCCAACCCACGCACCCTGCTGCTCATAGTTCTCTTGTGTGACCACCTCCAGGCGCCAGTCCACGGGGCTACAGCCGGGATTACCATCGGCTGACACCAGCTCGTAGCCGACAAGCCGAACAGCCTAATGATGGCAAACCAGTAGTGGGCGGGAAAACGTAGAAGAGTAAAACAATACTGCCTTCATGCATGCTTGGACGACGTTGGGATAGGTAACAAGCCCCATTTCGCTTTTTACTACCCGGTAAATCTTACTGGGCTATCATCTGGCAGTTTAAACTCCACCCAGGATAGGTTCCGGCCGTTCCAACCCAAATCCGATTCCAAGTCCACCCATTTGGTAGCTAAGCGACCTGTCGGGGAAGGCAATGAAGAATCATAGCACAAGTGAATTTATGTAGAGAGTGTACGGTGCACGCCGTACCTAGGATGGCTGGGTTTTGCACGAGTGGTGGCGTGGGGTTACTATTCTCTAACCAAGGGTGTCGGCCCTGAGCTTAATTCCCAAAGCTAACTCTGCGACCCTTGCTGTACAACCCGCTTTGCAAGAAAGCCCCAAACGTTTCCTCGAACGAAGTCAACAGTCACGAGGTGTAAAATCCTCGAAAAACATTTTGCTTGGTGTACATTTACATTCTCTTCAGCCTCTATCCTCCGTGCCCCTGGATAATGTTACTATGAGGTATACCTACACAAGGGCTTGCACGTGCACTGTATGCTATGGTTAAGGTTAGCTGTATCTAAACGCCATGCATGGAAACATCCAGTTTAGGTATCTGGCTCGACATACCGTCAAAGAGGTTTTGGACACTTTCATCGCGCGTCTCATTCACATTGTGTGCGCGTGCTCTGCATGAACCACTGCAGAGCAGCCCCGCCTTCGCTGCCAATACGCTGCTGACGTAGGAGACTTGAACCTGCTTCCAGTCCGTGGCCTTCAGACATGACAGGATGACAAAAGTTTCAGATGAGGGGATTTCTGTGTTACAGGAAGCATGTGTACGTCTACTGCATCATATACGTCACAATTGTTGACGGTATTGATTGCGTTAATTTAGTAAAAGTAGCACAGGAAGGCCGCATGTTGACGCTTCTGCACCCTTGGTCATAACAAAAGGATGGCACGCTTTACACGCGACCTACCTTAAAAACGATGGAGCTGGGCTTACAATTTAGCTTCGCTCCTCGGCACTGCACAAACTCGGACAGCAGGCTGCAGATGGCTTTATCACCAGCATCTGAGATGGAAAGTGTTCCTCCAGACAAAACCATGGGATTCCGCACAAGCGCCCTTCCAAGGTATCGCGACACATGTACGGTGAATGGCAGTCCATCCAGGCGCAACTCTTTAAGAGAGCTGTGGTGTTCAAGTAGGTCTGCCAGGCTTCGTATGCCTTCGTCTTTGAGTCCGTTGCCTGCAAAATTCGGGTCGCAAGGACTGGGCCATTCACCAAACTGGGCCGGAATAGCGTGTTAAAATATAACCTCATTATAAAGTACCATAAGTGTTTGTTGCATGGATAGGTTGGTACTAAATCCTCACTCATTCCGAAGCCAATCCAAAGGTAAAAACAAACACGCACCTGAAATGTCCAAGACCCTCAAGTTGGAGATTGATTGCATTACCCCGGTGATGTGATGGATGCCGGCATCAGTAAGACCAGCATCCTTGATGTAAAGTTCTGTCATGTTGGGTAGCTGCTGCCCCGTCAGCAGATTCCTTATGCCGTCATCACCAATACTGTTACCTGTGTTGCAATTGAAGAACGGTCAGCAGGTAAGTAGTAGCTTGCTGAGCATAACACCTAAGCTAGCAAGCACACCTGATACGTCCAAGGTCTTGAGGGATGGCAATGCAATAGTGACGTCTTTCATAGTGTCTGCAGTGAGGCCAGATTTGCTGATGTGGATGGCTTCAATGGTACTGAGCCTAGCGTCCTTGATGGCAGCCACCAGGCTCGTTACACCCGTGCCGCCAATAAACGGGTTACCTAAACAACAGGCGATGTAAAACGTTACACAGTTACAACTCATTGGGACATAGATGGGAGCCACTGCACAGAACAAGCGACGTCAATTTCCTCAAAGCTGGCAAATGGTAACTGCTGATGACCTTCAGGCAGGGCCACGTGATGTGCACTGCAGCTAATGAGGCATGTGTCTGGTTGGGCCCAGTCGGCACCCCTTGTTTGTGAAGCTGACAATGGCACTGCGTATTATGATCACGGACGCTATGTAACGGAGTACCAGGTATTGGGTCACAGGCAAAGCAGGTCTCAGTAGAAACAAACATGGTCTCGCCGACCTCTATATGTTGACAATTACTAAACGCCATTGTTACCGGCAAGCAACAGAGCAACTAGGATACAGTAAGGCGTATGCTGCAGTGGTTTGCTAAGGCCGCATTGGTTTTCCTAAACATTTACTACTCGCTAGTATCATGAAGTGGTATCTCCGCGCATGTTAAGGTATAGTTTGCTACAAAGAGCTAGCAATTAACAAACTACATGATACACATTTCGCTTGGATATTTTGCCGTTACAGACGGGCGCACACATGGGCGTACGTCGAGCCCTACCCCTGCTAACTGATGCCACTTTACTTCACCCCCGGGGGGCCATCCAAAAACACATCCTACTCTACGTCAACACCTACCCCAGCTATGTATTGGAGAACAAAATTGGAGAACAAACAGAACACGGTTTATACTTACGTGCTGCATGTATTGGGAGGTTAGAGAAACGTATCAATACATACGTGCCATCACTCCATTAAACCGCTTACCAGAGAGGTCCAGCGTTCGGACGTCAGGGCTCCGCTCGAGCATTTTTATGAGCGACGTGATGTGTTTTGTGACAAGTCCTTTCCTAGCGAGGTTGACATTGGAAACCTCCCAGGGGAACCTTTCCGCATCCTCAGGGCTGATCACCAGCAACTCCACAAGGTCATCCTGCAATTCACATTAGTTTGGAAAACCGGCTTGAGTGTTATGAGGCCCACAAGCCATGAAGCAGCAAAGATACGTGTAATGGCCTTTCCTCGACGCCTGGAATTTCTAAAAAAAATGAGAAGGGAAGCTCCTTCCTCCAATCTGGACAAGGGGGCCTCAAAGCTGGAAAATTCATGCGATCCTGTGATTCCAGGGCACAGTGGACCTAACAGCTGAGCTGCCTCGTTTAGTATAGGTGCATGTTGTGCGGCCGCTGAGGCCCCTTGTGTGTGCATGTTGTGCGGATGCTGGACCCCCGTGTCCAGCCGAGGCTGGCTGCCTTATTCGCCCATGGCATATTGGCATACATAGCGTTCATGCATGTCCTTTGCACACATTTCAGGCTCAAGACTGTTAACAGACTACTAGTGTCCCATCATGCTTGATTGCACCCACGCAGTGGGCTATCGAACCCAAATCAACGACCTGACTGTCTAACAGAAGAGCTGTCGGGGTTCATACAAGCAACTAACTAGGATTTAGGTACATTACTGGTACTTAAGCAGGATGAGGAGAACAGGCTCGGCATCGTGTACACAAGGACTTTGAGTAACCTCACATGTTGGCTGAACGGCCAGGTACCCGTTCGTGTTGTAGTTTATAGGCATCATACTTTAAAAATATAACAGCAAGCCGGCAGCATTCACAGACGCGGGTCGGGTCGTCTTAGTAGGTGCAAGCATGGTGCAGCCGAAATTCACAGGTCGTCAATCAATATCCCACACGTCACTGTTACCAAGCAATCCACTCTACAGAAATTACGGTACCGGTGAAACGTAATACAGGAGCAGTAATCGACATGCCGGTGATGTTCCTTCTTGATGGCCGGTACAGAAATTGTTTACTGCCAAAGGAATTTGTTCGGCTTGCAGTTATTTTTTATTAGCCAATGGAGATAAAGAATACGTATTTGTTGAACTTAATTTGTCTGGTTTGTATGTTTTGCTGTTCCTGGCACACGGACAGGGGCAATCTGCTGGGCGATGGGAAGCGTCCGGCTGTCTGCAGTAAGGTCCTCGCCCGGTATGTGGGCTCTGAGCTTGCTTGCAATAAAGCCCAGGACTTTTGAGCTTGCGCATGGAATATTGAGCACCCAGATCCCAACCGCAAATTTAAAATTGAAAGCAAGAACTAAACGTGCATAACCCTACTGCTTGCTTATAGCTCGTTACAGCATTCCCCTATAGGAGTATGTAAACTAGGTTTACCAGGACAACATAGCAGCAGGCTGACACACCGCACCTTCGCCCTCCTTCGCATCTCAATTTCCTTCCATTCAAACACCACGTCCAGCAGCTTTTTGCACGTCGCCTGGTTACCATCCTCACCCCCGGCGGCCCAGTCAAGACCCAGTGCTGCCTGAGCCTGTAAGGGAAGTAAGCCAACCACGGAAGAGGCTTTTTACATTAAAGTCAACGGTTGTTCCAAAATGTTTTCCCCAGTGAGCTTAGGGAAGTCTATTCAGTTTAGGACGTGCCAAACATGCAAAGCGGTAAGTGAATTCCCCAACTACCGGTATGATAATTGATTGCAGGCAGTGTAGGCATGTTCACTTACCTCGCGGGTCAGGTTGTTTGCATAGCACAACAAATTTGCACCACGCTTAGCCAGTGCCTTGATCAGTTCCAGATTGATGACCTCTGTGGGGGTAACAATGTTCTCTCGAGGAGAGTTTTCATCTCTACCACCGTTTCCAGGGACCTCTTTAACCTTTTTAATGATGCCCAGACCGCCAGACAGCACTCGGGGGTTCCTTTTTAGGGCTTCAGTGATGTGCCCAACACCTGTGCGTGTAAGGGGAACACCCACGATATTGAGGACGTCCAACCCGTCGTGGCGCTCCAGAGCATCCGATAGGCACTTAATGCCCGCTTCACCAATGTCGTGGTTGCCTGCATAGGCGGTGGCATGCGGGAAAGGGATTTTCTGGCATTTATGGAGACATATGAGAACCCTTACCCTCGGATAGAACAATGGACAGAGGTGAACTAGGATTACCTTCCTAATGTAATACAGGGTGTACGGCACTAGGTGTGTGTGTGGCCCCGTTGTTGACGTACAGGCAGAGGCAGCTTCAGAGGCAGCTGGAATGGGGCATGCGGTGGGGAAGGGCCCCACTGCCCCTTCCCCAGCCACCGCTTTAACCCCATTCCTTTTCCTTACCGGAATTCGCTACATACATGAACACCTCTTGTTCCTCAACGCCAGTCATGTTACAGCAGGTCAGGCCTAAAGGTGCCCAACTAACCATCATGAAACGTCCATTGCAAATCGTCTGTTGCAACGCAACCTAAGCAAACCGTTCGTTCGTTGCAAGACAAAACTCCATAGCAAAGCCCTCCTCCCTCGTCAACGCCCCATTACTTCAGAAAATTACGGCATACACAGACGGGTGTAAGTAAATACCCAAATGTCATGTGTCAGGATGAAGGCATGAAACCAGTAACCTAGCGCCCCGATTTCACATGGGGCACCCCAACGTTCAATCTTTCGTAAATGTCTGTTTGTAAAATACAAGGGATTAGCACGACGCTCCGTATAGCCTTCATACAGGAGGGGTGCGGAAGTATAGTTCTGTACCTCATGTCCCTCCCAATCCGGTGACGCCCCAAGCGTAATAGATAGAACTTATTGAAACCTGCCGTTTTAGCTATGTAGGGGGAAAAATAAAATGAGTTCCCGGGGGGAGGTAAAAGACAATGAGACACTGACGATGCAACTGACGAGCTGTATGACAATGATGGGGTCCCCAAGGGGAGGTCTGGGCCACATGATAAAATTTGCTACTTTCTTTTGGGCGGAGCCCCCGCCGTGAAGTGGGATTGGGGGGGGGGCTCCGCCGATGTCCGTCCGTAACAGCAAGACATACAAACTAGACAAAACTATTTATTGCACCTTATAGATATTTAGTAGCTGTATTCCAGGGGGGGGTAGTTTCGCCGCAAAATGACCCCATGCTTCAATTTTAAAGAACTCAACGAGAGCATTCCAATTCCGCTTTCAGAATTGAAATCGGAGTTGTACGGAAAAAGTTATAGGCTCCCAAAGTTGGTCGTACGGCAAGGGTGGGTAGGTGGGTCCGGAGCCCCAATGACTTTTTTCTTTGACCTCCAAAACTTTTTTCCTAGGTATCGTTTCGCCGAAAGCAGATTCAGTACTCCTGTTATAGTGTATGCATATTATGTTAATATTAGAGCCTTTGTGTGGAGTTTGCGGGTGACATGTCCCCCTGGAAGACCCTAGCTGGCCCAACATACATAGTATGGCTTCTCGAGAGGCAAAGCAAGCAGCAGGGACAGGGACTAAGGTGGAAGGGGCCCAAAGAGGAACCAAACGAATAAAATCACAAAGTTCGGCAAGGTTAAAGGGGGAGGGCACGCAACAGGCGTACTGACAACACACCCGTGGCAGGTGGAAACATGCGTGGTTCTGCATCTGGTGCTGAGGGCGATGGGGTGCAAGCCCAACCTGCTACCCGGGGGAGGGGGCGCAGTCGTACCGATGGCGGGGTGATGTGAGGGACGTAGTGGCAGGTGGACTGGAGCACACCTACAAACGCAACCGTGCACTCAAGCATCACAGCAATGCATGCGAGGTTTAAAAGAGATGTGTATCGGCTGCATACCAGAGAGCATTGAGTCTGGCAGCCTGCCTGCCCCGCCCCCCGTGTGGCGAGCGACTCGGACATGTTGCCAAATGGTACGCCTAACGTGAGAACGACGAAGAACATGTGAAATGGAGTCGAATGGTGCTTTTTGGGGCGATTTTGCGAAATTACAGCGTTGTCGTACAGCAAAATTGGTACGACAGGGTGAGTGGGTGGGTCCGGCACCCCTTTCTTGACTTTTTTAGCATGGGGTTTGGCAAAGACTCCCCCCCCCTGTGTATTCATCAAATTAACTGCATGTCAAACAAACTTGACTTCACAACAAACGGTTTATTGACCGGAGTATTGAAAAGGACCACCACGGCAATACTGATTAGCGCTCCTCTATGGTGCGTTTTGGTACCGTAAACAGTATTTAGTGAACTGGTAACAGCGGCGTGCCGCCAAAGGGCTACCTGTGAAAGTCGGCGGGAGCATCGCTTGCATCTACTGTGCTACTCAGAGCCCACACAATCCATTGTGACGATATTGCCGGCCTTTGCTAATCGTTTGCGCATCATGATGCCTATGAAGTGTAACGCAAACGGGTATCTCGCCCAGAAGCTAACATGCGAAGTTACATTGCAATGGCCGAAGTCCTTTTAAGCACGATGCCGACATTGCCAAGTCTGCCCTCCTCATCATGTTAGTAATGTAGGTGAAACCTAAACGACCTGCGGGACCCTGAAAGCACTCCCATGTGGCAGTTACGCCGTTGACTTGGGTTTATTAGCCTGATGCATGGGTGCTAGCAAGCTTGATAAGACGCTGCAGACTATTCAGTTGCACATGCGTAACCTTGCAATGTGTGTAATGGGTGAGGACGCTATGTATGCCATGGGTGAACAAGTAAGGCGGCCGGCCTCGACTGGACAAGGGACTCTGAGCTCGTCTAGCCATGCAACGAATACCCAAACTACAGTAGACAAGGGGGGTTCAGCGTCCGCGTCCGCGTACAGTAAGCAAGGGGGTTCAGCGTCCGTGTAACAAGGTGTGTTACGTCAACTGGTGCTGTGGAGTCACAGGAGCGCATTCCGTGCCATTCCAGTGATAGTACTACGTTCCTGTACTCGATAGGAGGGGCTCCGCCCTTTTCCAGCTTTGAGGAAGCTGAACCCCCTTGTCAACCTATAATAGCCTATAAGATCATATAAGACGCTTCACCAGACGCAGACATTTTCAAAATGTATTTTTTTAGACCCCTCCTGGTTCGTATGCCCATTTCGTATTAGTTACGAGCATCGGCAAATGTACGAACGCGAGGCGTTACCCGAGTTAATTGTAACGAAACATTTACGTAACCCATAAGGGGGCGAGCCAATTATGGACAATACCAGTAAGTTAATCTGTAGGCTAGATTAACCCATAGGGGACGTTGTTAGGGCTTCAGAAATGCGTAAATTACCTTGCCAGCTAACACACGCCAGTGCTTACTTTTAATGTACGATTAGTAGTGCAGGTAACTTTGCCCAACAGTTAATTGGAATGTTGTACCAGGAGGGGTGAGAAGAAAAAAAATTTGACAGTAAGAGCAAAAAGTCCGGCGACCCGCCCTTGACCACCCACCCACCCCCAAAGCAGCCAAAAATGGGAATTTCGTGTACGACACTGTGTAAACAGCTTTCTTATGATGTAAATAGTACCCCTAACAGTCTTCCTGAAGGTCGGAGGTCATTCTTGTCGTGAAACCCGCCGCCCGGACAATCCGGGCACTTCCACTTAGCGACCCGTTTTGGCCTGTCTGCATGCTGTTGCTGACATTTTCCCGCATGTTTCTCATAATTGGCTTTGCTGCCCGGCGGAAAGGACTTGGAGCAGGTCGGTCAAGATTGCCCAGCTGTGCCGATATCTGCTTTTGAGACATCCTGGGTGCTTGTAGCAATGGTTTAAGCAAATATATCAACACTAGTTGCAGAAGCAGAAGCATCCTTTGACCGGGTGGTTCACCATTGCCAGGTCTGGGATGGCATCGACAACTATGCGCTTGCATACTAAATGTATACGAAGGATAGGTGCGTAAAGCAATAGAACTATGTAAGCCAAGCGTAAATATAGCAAGTTTACGTTGAAATTCGCAGTCAGAAAAAAGTTGGAAAAAAGTTGACCGGCCCCGGGACCACGCACCCCACACCCCAAGAGCACCCTCGAAATCGACGGGAAATAGATTAAAAGGGCTATTCTTCACCTCCTCTATACTTCTAGCAGTGTTTGGGATCAGTTTACCTCATACCCCCAAAAGCTGGAATTTTTCACCCCTCCTGGATGTACATCTTGTAATGCGCCAATCTACCCGCCCCACCCATACATGCAATCCAATCTCAACTAATGGAACGCCACGCACCACTCACCTGACAAGGTCAATGTTTTGACAAGCTGACTGATTTGAAGCATCTTGCTTAGAGATTCCATGTGTCGATCTCCAAGTCCCAAGTTCGGCAAATTGACATTGCTGCCCTTCAGGGAGAAACGCGCCGTATGTTCAGGATAGTACTTCAGCAACTGCTTGATCGCCTCCTGTATAGGCATATATAGGGAGCAGCAGGGACCAATTGCATCTATTGCAAACAACACGCACAACAAGGGACTGTCAGTTGTACCAAAGCTGGAGTGCGGCGCCCCTTGCTGATAATAAGGTCATACATACAATGACCACTGGAATGACATGGCATGCGTACCTGTGACCCATAGTACCAGCTATACACCCATTAGTTGAGACACTAAAATCCATAAGCTATCTACTAGCGAGACGTCATTGAGCCTACGTTGAATTCCAAAATGCTCCTTCAATTTCGAAAGAAATAAACCCACGCATACACCTACACAGGCTTGGAAAAGCGCTCCGAAAGTCCATGAAACGAGTCGTTGAGGGTCCGGGCCCACCAAACCACCCACTCCATCCTGCCGTACAACCGGCATTACCGTAGTAACGCGAATGTTGTTTCTTTTATTGATTGTACCGAGGCGAAATAATTTCCCAATAGTTTTTACAACTGGAACATTTTTAAGGAAAGTCACGAGGTTTTCCCCGGCACTCAAACATTTTACCCGGCCCCTTGTTGGCTAGCGTTGACCTTTTGAGCGGCCTCCCCACGACGGCTGTAACCCAACCCCAAGTACCATTTAGGGAGGCTGGAAGCGCATGGAAGGATTCCGGAGTCCGAGGTGGCCCGAAGGGGGGACCCGAGGGGGCCCGAAACCCCTTGCGTCAGGCCGTGATCCCCAGCATTTCCTTCTAAGCCAATATCCCCTAACCATATCGACCCCATGCCAGCCCCCTTCATCCCAATCATTCCCCCAGCCGACCAATCATTCCCCCAGCCCCCCGACCACATTTAGTACTTTCCATCCCTGACCCCCCCCATCTTTTGATAATTCCGAATTTCCAAAATTCCCTTTCTTCACGCGACACCTTGAATCATTAGAAGACCGCAAATGTTTTTACTGGGGAGGCCGGAATTTTCCTGACACAGTTTTACCGCTCCAAATAATTATTTATTTTGCAAAAACATTCGTGTTACTACGGTGGTTGCAAGCCCAGAACTACCAGGTTTTGTACAACTCCTAAACGAGACATACCTGGTCTACTTCGTAAGCCCACTGGTCATCAGATGCAGCAGCGATGAAAGCAGCAATTGGAGATTGGGGAGCAGCAGGCCAGCGGAGCAGTCTTTGTTCTGCACCATGGGAGGTGCCCAAAGCAGCGCACACATGCTTCCACGAGAAGATTACCACGTGTTGAGTCACAGAATCGACTATGGGGTTGGGTTTGGAAAAGGATTTCTTTTTAGGACTCCAGTCGCCAAGAATGCCCAGCCCAGCACTGGCGCTGAACAGTGCTTCCCATTTCTTGTCCATGCCGATCTCCTCTGTACGCAGCCGGTACAGTACATCCCTTTTCGTCGTCCTCGCCCGTGTGCGCCAGTAATGGTCCTCGTTTGACTCATCGTCCTCACTTGTGGATGTTAAATCCTCATCGCAAGCCCTATACGTGATGTTCATTGCAATGCAGACGCGGTTGCTGCTGCCATACCAAAGCTCCAAGAAGGTCTTTAGCACGTAAGTGTCGAGGGTAGCGAGAAACGTCAGGACCATAACATTAAGAATTGCAGTCAGCAAGTTGGGTTTCTTGCCGCCGTTTGTGTCGTCGTCGTTGGACCGGTAGAGGGCAACGTAGATTGATGTACCAGCAAAGGCTAAAGGCTGAAGGGTGTCCACAAATAGTGATAGCCAGCAGAAGCAAAGATACAGCCGCCGGCCAACCCAAGGTAGATTGGGACCAAAACACTTGCTACCACAATTGGCAGATGCAGCATCACCAGTTTGGCCGGTGTCGGTAGGGTTGGTGGTGCCAGCCAGTGGTGAGGTGGAATAGCCAGGCTGGAGCTTGCTAATAAAACGCCATAAGTAGCACAGCCCCTTGAGTGACTTGGATATGGTCATCAAAATAGGGACAACCTGAAGGAACAGGACGCTTATGATCACAGCCCACCTGCAAACACAGCATATGGCAAAAACGGTAGTCAGTTAAATAGCAGGGCTTTTAGGCAGCGTGCATTGTTGCCGGCGGTACATGCCAAACTCACACTTCCTGTCAATGCCGTGCATCCATCTCACCATACAAGATAGGGCGTCTCAGCAGTATTCAACCGTATAAACAGTGGAGTCATCATGACAGCTTTAGATAGTATGTGAGACTTACTCTGTTTCCTCCGATATCGTTTTGTAAGGGTATCGCACGCTGTCTCTGCGGCTTGTCCTCTCCAGCCACAGGACGAACAGTACAGCGACAAGCCACACCACTGATGTAGACACCAGTTGGACAGCGACGGACTTCCAGTCAGCCGCCATCAAGAAGAACTGAGATGTGACATCATCACATGAGATAGGAATGGTGAAGGCGACGTAGGACGGATCCTGGTGGTCGCTGACAGCCGGAAGCCCTGTCACAATGGATGCAAAGTGAAGGGGACAATGATGGACAGCATGAAACTTCCATAGCCCAATTAAGGTCTAAGAGTATTGAAGGTCTGAGAGGGATAAACACATATATTGCGTAAGTGAAAGACCTGTGCGTGATGGCCACGCTTGGCAGATAAAGAAGCTTGAACCCGAGTTGGCTGTGTGTATGACCGCACTATACACAATTTCTCCTGTTCACAACAGGAATCGACCAGAGCAAGTAATAGTTTCCCAGTATTACATACGTGGGCCCTTTCTGTGCACCAATTTCTACCTACACGGGAGGGGCGCGAATAGGCAGGCCAAAACCCTTTTGACGTTATGCCTGACATGTTGTGGGCTATTTGTGGAGCCTGCTCATCCCACACTTACCACTGTCATTGGTGCTACCATGCACACCATTTCTTTGTGCATTCTTGACGCCTCGTTCTACAGGTAGGGGGGCGGGCCATAAATACGTCAAAGCATCAGGATCTTTTGTGTTGCAGGAAATAAACTATCTAGTTGCAAAAGGAAGAGCACATACAATCAAATTTGGCCCTGAAAGGCAGCCCGCTCTGGAGGAAGCGTACGACTCGTACGTACTAAAGTATATTCTGATTGCTGACTCATTACCCAAACCATGACTGTCGTACTGGTTACATACATGCATATAACTGGATAGGAAAGACCGTCCAGCATGCACCCTGAAGAAGTACGTGGAGGAAACCAAGGTGCGGCTTAACCTTGCGCCAGATCACAAGTGGCTGCTGCTGCTGCTGGACTGCTGGCGTGTGCACCTCACAGAGGAGTTCCAGGGGTTGGGTCGACAACAGCCTATCCGCATGCCTACTAGCTTTGACTTGTAGGTTTAGGTACGAATAATGGGCTCTCCGTCCTTTTCTAGTGCTGACACGGCTGTTCCCTATGCCCAACCAGGAGCACCTGCCTGGCGCCCTGCCCAAGTACGTGCCGGCCAACTGCACGTCCAGGCTGCAGCCCTGCGACGTCGGCATTCAGAAGCCGCTCAAGGACTGCATCAAGCGTGCAGGGTGTTCGTCAGGGTGTTCGTGCGCCAGCTGGATGCGCAGTGCAAGCTGCAGGTCGCACCCAAGGACGCTGCCCTCAGCCTCAGTGCCTCCACCCTTGCAGTACTTGCAGAGGCAACACTGGCCAACAACGCTGGCAAGCAAGGCAGCCCGGCCGCTGCTGGGGGCCTCGACCGAACTGCTGAACCCGACCCCGACCAGCTTGAGCCGGTGGTGGTTGACTAGGAGGGTGTCCTGGACGAGGTTATAGACGGCATGCTGGACATGCAGCAGCAGTTCGAGCAGGGCGTCCAGCGCGCAGGAGGAGGGGGTGGTGGAGGACGGTTCGGACCTCGACTCTCTCAGCGGAGCCAGCAGCGGGGAGGAAAGCAGCGCGGAAAGCGGGGGAGAGCAACGCTGAGGGAGGCATCGGTGCTGTGAGGGCCGTGGTGGTGGGGTCGGGGCCGTGGTGGTCGCGGTGGCGGCAGGGGCCGGGGGGGCCGTGGGCGTGGAGGGCGTGGTGGCAGGGGCCGGGGTGCAGGAGGGGGCAGAAAGCGTGCTGCATCCCCTGAGGCGGATGAGGGAGTCGAGTCTGGTCCTGAAACCTCAGGAGACAGTGACATGCCCTCGGGGGACAGCAGTGAGGGTAGCCATGTGGAGGAGGGTGATACAATTGCGGAACTGCAGGAGCAGGGAAGAATAGGCGGGCGCGACATGTGCTGCAGCGACTGGACCTCTGACAAGGTCCTGCGCCTTTATGCAGTTTTGCATGGTTTGAAGCTTTGCATGGAATCCTGTTAATTATCTTGACACTGGCGATACCGGTATTATTTTTTGTGACTGAAGTTATGGGGGCTGAAGTTATTGTCCCCCATTTGAAATGCAATTGCAAATGTTTCCGCGTGGTAACCAATGTAACCCCTATAGGCTGTAGGCGATTCTGTAAGAGGTGTGACACGCCACGACGTTGCAGAGGCCCGGAGTAGGTAGGCAGCTGAGACCCTACGCCCCAATTGCCGGCGCTGACACGGCTACTATGTAGCAGGCTGGTGTGGTATCCAAATTACAAAATCCATAAAAGTTGGTGGTAGTGATAACTACCGATTCAGGTGGGCATAGCCCAAAGTAGACGACTCGAAGGTTGTCGTACCGATCTTGGAGTTGTAGAGTCTCGAACAGACGGTAGGCGATTAAGCACTAGAGACCAGTGTCTCAACTGTCACAGAAACAGTTCCATTCTCATAACATTACGAGAATACCGTTAACACTAACGGGTTCACGGCGTCTTACATACAGTAGGAAGGCTTATGGCCACAGCGGCTATACAGATTACGCTAGGTACAGAGCGCAATACAACAGCTGGTGTGCTAAATAGGTGCACGATAGGGCTGGCCAAGCCGGCTATTGTGACGCAGCGGTGATAGCGCTATGCATGGTCAGTGTAGTAGGCTTTCGTTGGACTCTAACAACGGACTGTAATCGTTGCCGTGCGGTGTAGCACTGTTAGGCCCCAAGAAGAGCCGAACAGCAAAACAAGCGAATAACCAGTAAACCGCTATACATATAATAACCAACCAACATCGCAGGTCGTACCTCCTACCAACTTCGGCAAGACAGTTGGACAGTTGGTCCTAGCAATACGACTTGCACACGACAAAACGATACATACCTACATACATGGGGGAAAGGCATTTGTGCTTGGTTACGGACCAAACAATGGCAATGTTGAAGTTTTGTGGGTCCGGGAGTGGTTACCAAAATTGGTAGCCGCTTGCATTTTGGTCTCGGGCCCATCACCAATTATGGAGAACACCTATAAAGTCCAAGCCGTTTCCCAAGGCCCTCACCAATACTGAAATCACAAAAATTTCGTATCATTACGGGAGGTACTAATGGAGGATTATATAAAATACTTTGCCATCGCACACGGACGGACACAAGGACATGTGTAATCCTAGGGAGCATCACCCCCTCAAAGCCGTTTCACGGCGGGGGCGCCGACCAAACATCCGGATGGGGCCCCCAGGGATGAAAATCCTCAAGTGCCCCCCATCCTGCCCCTACGTTTCCTCCTTTCACCCTTCCCACATGTTGCGTTCCTGGCTGGCCTCACTCTGGATTGGTCCCTGGACATGGCGGCTGGCCCATCCCATGGTTTCCCGGTACACATATCTTTGTGTGCCTAGGTACGTGTATTCTCTTGTGTCCGTCCATGTATTGCGTGCTCGTGTTGTGCTGTTCCTGTTGATTACTTATGCCCGCCGGTGGGTCTCCAACTCATCTTCAGCCGCCTCCATACACGCCCACGATTACGGTGAGGTGCTCCATAATTGGTAAGTTTCGGTAAGTTTAGCTAGCAATGCTTCAACCACCACTTCGGCTCGACTCACGGTTGTTTCAACCAGGGCTTGTCAGCTACATGTACCACTATGCACTATCACAACACACATTGAAATTTCTTTTTTCCCTACCCTACCTGTTTAAATCTAAACCCCCGAACGCAAAAACGGAAAAGGAAAGTATGAATACACTGCGGCCCGGGTATCAAGGATTCGAAAACCAGGGATGAAAACCGGAAAAAAGCCCTCCTCCTACTCCCTCATACACATCCACTAACCTGGAATCATATCCACGTGAACGTGGGGTAGGCCTCCTTGCTCATCATCAGTCGCGACAATTGAGCAAGAATTCTCAGTATCCGTACCTGTCGCACAACAAACGACAAGGTATCACCGCGCGAGAATCCATGCGGTATGATATGTATTACAGGACTGTAAACTGACAGGTACACCCGTGCATTGCCACCAGGTTCACAGCAATCGAGCGTCAAGCTCCCTTTGACTACCATTCAAGTTTGTCTTTCAAAGCGCGTGCGCAAGCTCTTGAACCCTTGGGACTAACGGAAACACAGCCTCACCCTGTTCCTGCGCACCAGTCGCTGCGACTAACGCGCAAAGCCGGCGCCACCATTCAAACATCTCTGTTAAAGGCCGTGTGTTGGCCGTGTCCAACGAAGAAAGCAAGCGGCGCAAGAGGAAAGCGGAGTGGTTGGCATCAAGCCTAAATGAATTTGAACACTCAGCTCGGGCAATCAAGTGCAGCGGCAGTACACAACCATGCTGCCTTTTAAACAAACACAAGAAGTTACTCCCCGACTAACCCTTTTCAGCAAAGTTTATGGCCGCCACCTGACTTCGCCCACATTCCTTCTCCACGAGTTGCAATTAGAACGTTCCGACCTTGTGAAAGGCTCTGTGAACAGGATCTGAAACTATCACTAATACTATGTTCTTTATAGATAAGTATTGGAACGCCCAGACGCTACAAGCCTGCACCGATTGGCAGGTAAGTCTCCCGAAAGCTTGTCACTGTTTCGCAGCCTTAATCGCTCAGAGCTGACACTTCGCGCGGCTTCCTTTGCCGTAGAGGCTCCAACGGGAAACGGTATGCCGAAAAGTGACGAAGTCTAGCAAGCAAAGCTGAGCCTTACAAAACTGACCGGCGCTCTATCAACGTAGTGGTAGCTTACCTCAGCCGCTTTGTATGCGTAGCTCTTGCCAAGAAGCTATGGTCTTCGGGGGTTAGCTTCCGAAACCACTACCAAGCTCCGAACCCCAAGGACCGACTCTCCGACGGACTGCTTGGAATAGCTGTACTTATGTTTAAACCTCAATGCCACGTACTTTGGCATAATCCGTCTAGGGATGGAGGAGGATACCTGGGTCTGCCCCAGACGTCGGCAAACACGGTATTTCTGCTTCGGGAAGGTCCTATTTCTGCATGCCTCAGAAAAAACGCTTTTGGGCGGCGCGCCTATTCCTTGACTGACCAATCCATGTACTTCTCCTAATATACTTCAATTGGGGCCCGGGGGCGAAGCCCCCGGAGAAAATTTTGGAATTGAAGTGCTTAAGGAACAGAAATTGCACCCTTTTTGCAGTAATTGTGTGTCCGCAGTGCTTCAGTGGGGGTCAAAACGGTCTCTAGGGCTTGTAAGGGGCAGCCCGCCTGAGCACGAGGGCCTATTTCTGTCGCATGGCTAGCTTCGGATACCGAATTTCTGTTTCGGGAACTTCGGTACGACCCGAACTCTCCGAAGCGTTTGCCGATGTCTGGTCTGCCCTGTTTGTTACCGTGAGTATGCTTCACACCAACAACGCTACGCAGTACTAGGATGTGGTCATCAATACTGCGCAACGGTAGGCAAATCCGAGTGTTTACGAAATGAGTTTTAAGAAAAGAAGGTAGAACGTCGTTCCTCGTCTTCCCCAACTGTTGCAGTGTCTAGCGGAGCACGTATGGCGCCAGCAGAGCTCTCGCAAGCCCAGCTGCCCCATCTGTCGCCAACCCATGCTGCACTGTGCTCCTTGGGATGCCAGCACGCGAGGGGAAGGAGCTGCAACTGCTGCCCCTTCTTCCCGCAAAGAGTCCACAGCATGTGAACCTCCCGTAGAACCAGCAGCTGCTAAAGCGGCACCAACGACAGTATCCCAGCAGGGGCCTGGGGCCGCGGCCTGTTCCTCGCCGTTTCCCTCTCACACACAAGGCATTCTGCTTCAGCTTCAAGTCGGGCGGGTCCGCTTTGAGGTGATGACGGGTTTGCCGTACGTCATTTGATGCCGTAATGATAAACATACCGGGTAGCAGTACCCCGTGTTTATCGGGCCGCCTTGTCCCACCCTTTCTCACTTGCCCCGTCCTGCCCTGTTGCTTCTTGAGTCCTCAACATAAGCTGCCTTTCCCCGCTCCGCTCCCATTAGACGTACTGGCTTGGCTGATTCGGGCTGGGCGAGTCGGGCTGGTTCGCATGTTGCAAACCACAATGACGCCTCACCACACGTTGACGCCCGCCAACGTTAGTTTGTTGTTTCCTCTTTACCCCTCCTCTCAGCTCCCATCGGACCCGCACCAAGGCAGCATCCGAGACACCCTTTGCAAGCTCTACAAGCTGCACCCTAGCCGGTACGGCCCTGGTACGACACATATGTGCATCGTTGTATCCTCTCTCTCTGCCACGCCTTGGGTATCGTTGTCGTGCGACACCTGTCGTACGATGCTCATGGTCTTTCGTTCCTTACCGGATGCCTTGCCTGCAGGGTGAAGCTGGTTCATCGGGGTCGCGCTCTGGAGGGTGAGGAGGAGCTACGGAGGGCGGCGGAGGCCAGGGCGGTAGTGGCACTACTAGCGTCCCGTGGGTCGGCTGTGGAGGCAGGAGGAGGAGGGCGGTGGTTGGGGTTCATTAGGTGAGGTCGCATGCGGGACTAGGGTGCTGATGTGTCTGCTGGACTGGTCGGGCCTCCGGAGCAGTGAGACTGGCAGTTTGTCGTTCGTAGTAGTCGAATGAATGACTGTTAGAATGGTTCCCTAAACGGGGTTTACTATCGCGGGTACAACACTTCCTTCCCCCTCTTGTTTCCATGTCGTATACCCCTCCTCATGTGCACCAGCTCCCGCCTCCGAGCTGCCGTACAGCATTTGGAGGGCCGTTGGCGGCGGTTGGCGGCCACTTCGCCGTACCTGCGGGCCTTACGTGCCGCCCTGCAGCCCCTCTCGGCCGCCCTGCGCTCCTTCTTCGCCTCCCTCAACCCCGCCTACGTTGCCCCCAGCACCCCAGCGGGCAGCGGGACACGTGGAAGGGTAGCTAGCGGAGGCGGTGGGGGCGGCGGAGGAAGCAGTGCAGGGGAAGTGGGTGGGAGTAGAGGCCGGAGGACGGATTAGAAGAGAGGAGCAAGAGGCATGGGGCACGGGGCTGCTGTTAGGGAATCCCAGTGGCTGCTCAGGAAGGAGCGAAAGCGGATGTTAGGCCCTGTAGTGTACGGGTAACCCATTGTGACCCTCGTAGCGCTGCTTACGTAGGCACTTAGTAGGCGTGGGCTGCGATGAGGGGATGTGGCATGGTCCGCCTTCCTGGCTGAAGCTTGAAGGCATGAACGGTCGCATCCAGTGCGCATGCCTACCGTTGGCCGTCCGCACCACGGTGGCTCGGCATCTCATCTAAACATTTCCGACTATAACTTTTGTTCGTACCGCTTGGCAGGCCCCACCCCACCAGCGCTAGTACGCGCAAAGCCCCTCTTTTGCCATGTGTTTCTGCCATCAATCACTACTGGCATGTTGTATGTTCCACCGTTACAGACACACGGACGCGGGTCATCCTGGGGAGCATCTATCTCCCCCTCAAAGCCCCGCATGAACGCATGCGCATGGCCCCGTGGCCTTACACGTCTCCTGCAGGCCCATCCACCGTACACCGGTGGCCAGCGCTCACTACCGATCATTAGCTCCGCTGTTCTCTTCTCAACAGCTAGCTGCGAACGTATACACCTCCACGAGCAGCAACGTGCTAACATGTGACACTCCACGTAACATACATAAAAGGGAGTTGCAAACGCACAAATTCCTGGCTCACGAACGCGACTGTGACAACAAGGCCAGCATGCCAGCAGCAATCACTGACCTGCTTGCCCTGCCTGCAACGCTCTAACAGGAGAGATGCAAGCACGTGCGGACAAGTTCCGTATCGTACACATCATTATGCAACTACACAGCAGTGAGTCGTCAAGGAAAGGTGCAGGTCAGGGCGTCTGCCCCTACATATCCCGCACATGCATCCGCACGTACATCCGCCCCCCCCTTGCCGCATGTGGACCGCTCGACCGCAGCATGCGTCAGTTACCTCACCCCCTCCCTGCCTCCTAGCCACGCCACGCCATGCCAAGCAAACCCCCACCCACCACCTTTCACCTACACCCACCCTTGGTCAATGTCAGTCTGTGGTCCTTGTAAGACTGCGGCCAGTTGAGTGGCTGTCCCAACCCACCACCTTGCCTCGGTCAGCCAAAGACGCCCAGAACCCTGGCATAACCCCATGCACTGGCAGTACTACCCCAAGCCCTACGCCCCACTCTGTCGCCTATGCACGCTGTCAGCTATACCGCTCGTTGCCACGTTGCCCCTGCACCTGTCCCAGCGTCACCATTACTCCGGTATCAACTCATTAAGGCTCATCCGAGATTCCGAGACACAGGTGCTATCCACACCCGGGTTGGAAGCACCCCTCGCACACCCTTTTTCAACGTATCGTACATCGATTGTGTTGATTGCGTGCTTGCCAAGTGCGAGTGTATCACGGACCTTGCCAAACTCCCCTTCCCCTCCCGCCTCCCCTCTCCGGGAGTAGCCACTTCTCTATCCCCTACCCTTCTAAGCCCCACCCTCCTACCAAGGACCCCTGGGCAGGCCCCTCCAGCCAGCATCTGGAACACCCTCATCACCCCTTACGCTACCCACTAAAAAACCAGCAAGCACACTGTTTCAGGAAGTGGGAATCCATTCCCTGCTTCTCTCTTACCACTCCCTCCCTTCCTCGTGCCTCACTGAATGAACTGGTCAAACACCTCCCGCACCGCCCCCTGCAGCTCGCTGAAGGAGAAGCCCTCGCCGCTGTCGCACCGCAGCGCGTTCAGCGCGGCAGTGAAGCGGCCCTCATCGTAGGCGGGAACCTGGGGGCGCAGGAAGGGGGGGAGGGGGCGAGTGAAGGGGATACCAGGGTGAGACCTCCGAATGCGCTCACTGCAAGAGTTGGGATACGGAATGGCATCTCCGTTGCTTCACTTTTCATATCTCTGCCCCCCATCAACGCATGGAGCTTCTTCTCCTGCTGCCTTCCCCCTCCCTTTCCCCCTCCTCCCTCTCCCCCCCACCTGCACCCCCAGCAGCACACTGCTCTCCCGGTTGCCCGAGGTGCGGTAGTGGAAGAGCGTCACGTTCCAAGCGGGCGACACCACGTCCAGGAAGCGGCGCAGCGCACCCGGGCGCTCGGGGAAGACAACCTGGGGGGGGGAGGGAGACAGGGAGAGGGGGGGAGAGGAGGGGGAGAGGGGGGGGTTAATAGGAGGTGGATGGGAGTTCGCAGAGTCAGGACTTCAGTCTCCTGTGGCGTTTCCGTGGGAGGACTTCATCTTCCGGCAATCACAGTGTACGTTCCGACCCGCGTCCAATTTTTTTAACACACCGGTCAGTGTTTCCTCACGGCTCAGTTTACCTAATCCCTCCCCCCCCCCCCCCAGCCCCCAGCCCCCGGCCCCACCTGGATGATCTTCTCGTCCTCAATGCGCCCCGTGTAGGAGCGCGCGCGACCCCCCGCCAGGTGCCGCAGGTGCACCTGGGGGGCAGGAGGGAGGGAGGGGAGCAGGAGGGGGGTTAGAAGGAGGGGCATCGGGCGGAAAGGAGGGGGGCTAGTTCGACATACAAAGCGGGGTAGTGCGTTACTGCTCACTGCCAGTATTCTCAACACAGACCCCTCTCTCTCTCCTCTTCCTCCCCCCTCTTCTCCCCCTCCCCCCCGGTTTTCCTTAATTTTACCCCTTCCCCCTCCCCCTCCCTCCACCCCACCTGCGCCACCTCCAGCCCGCTGATGTCGGTGGAGGTCATGTCCGCCGCGTTGAGCCGCTCCAGCAGCGCCGCCAGCTGCTCGGGGTGGCGGATGGCAACACCCCACAACACCTGCGGGGGGAAGGGGGGAACAGGAAAGGGGTGGGGGGGAAGAAGGTGGGAAGGCAGGCAGGCGTTGGCAGGCCCCCCGCGCCAGCGCGCATAGGCTTCCCTCTGAAGGCCTCTCCACCGGAAACACCGCCCGAACCACATTCCTCCTCCTCCTCCTCCACCACCACACGGCCCCCAAACACACACGTTTTCGGCCCGCACTCTCAGCGCACGCAACCCCCACCCCACCTGCGCTGTGCTGCCCGCCGAGTAGCGGTACTTGAACTCGGTGACGGAGAGGTCGGAGTCGGAGGAGACCGCCGTGTCGATGAACTCCCTGTGTGCGTATGGGGGGTGGGGTGGCGGTGGGGGGGGAGGTATAACATGAGATGGCAAACGAGACGACACGTGTTTGCGGGGGGGGGGAGAGGGGCAGGGTTGGGGAAAGAGAAGTGAAGCAGTGTGTGATTCCAAGGAAGGGAGGGGGCTGAGGTCCCCCCCCCCCGGGCTGTTCGGCTGCGGGGTTGACAGGCAGAGCTGCAAGGGTGCAGCTGCCTGCTGCGGAAGGGACCCTCCTACCCTTCCGCCACCCCCCTTTCCTCTCATGCCATCCTTGTACGGCATAACTCGCTTTCGTCTGACTGACCCCCACCCTGCTCCCCCCTCCCCACCCCTTCCATCCTCCCCCCTGCCCTCGTCAGCTACCCCTCCCTGCCACCACCTTCCTTCCTCCCCTTTTTGTTTGCCCTTCTCATTCAACACATTGGGTGTTCTCCTTCCCCTCTCCCCCCCTCCCCCTCTCCCCCTCTCCCCCCCTCACTTGAACGCCCCCGGCCGCTCCGGGATGGTAGTTGTGATGGTTGCCTCCGTGCGCCCGCCCACATTGGCCAGCTCAGCCACCAGCCGCAGCCGCTCGAAGTTCATATTGGCGCCGCTGGTGACGGCAACCACGGTGGAACCTGGGGGGTTGGGGGCGGGGGCGAGGTGAGGTGGGAGGTGGGGTGAGGGCGGGGGGTGGGGGAGAATTAATAGGGACACATATTCTGGATTAGGCTGAGGTTGGGTGAGGTGAGGGTGGAAGGGTGGCAGTTTGGCGTTGTTTTGGGGGGGAGGGGTTTTTTGGGGGGGAGGAGGGGTGACAAGTTCGGGGATTGTCGCAAGGGGCTGTAGAAGTACTGGTGGAGGTCGTCCTCCTCGTCGACAACCCGCTCATCACAACGAATGGCCCCAGTGCGCACAGCTATGCGGGCCAGCTGCCTCCTCACCCCCACGCACCCCCACCCCCACCCCCACCCACCCTTCATGCCGTTCCGCTTGAGCCACGCCTTGGCCCCCGCCACCGCCAGCGCCCCCGCCGGCTCCAGGATGGACCTCGTCTCGTTGAAGACGTCCTTGATGGCCGCCGACACCGCGCTGTTGTCCACCAGCACCACCCCGTCCACCAGCTGGCGACACAGGCGGAACGTCTCCTGGCCCACCTGGGGGGTTGGGAGGGGGTGAGGAAATGAAAGGGAAAGGGTTGGGAGGGGTGAAGGGGGGGAGCCTTTGCCCTTCACCCGTCGTTACCTCCCTCCCTGTACCTCCCCGTACCTTCCCCGCCGCTCCCCTCGTCAGCTTGTTTGCTATCATCATTAGCAACAACACACTGGGATTCTCCCCCCCCCTTCCCTCACCTGCTTACCCATTGTTACCCATACCCATTGTTTTGCCCTAACTTTGTGGTTTGGTTTATTCTACCCCTCACCTGCTTCACCGCCACCCCATCCGCGAACGCATCCACCCGGGACAGCGCCACCCGCTGCCCCCGAGCCAGCGAGATGGCCATGGCGTTGGCGCCGCTGGGCTCCACACCAATCACCTGCAGGGGGGGTATTAATAGGGATGAACATTCCGCATTAAGCTGGATTTTAGGATTGTGCATAGTCAAAAACGTGTTAGGGGTGAGGGGGTGGAAAGAGGAAACGGACGCGCTGTGCGACGAGGCTTCACCAGTGTTTTTAAAAGTGGTCACTAGTGACAAAGTGGTTACTCAGAAAATAATTCCCCTCCGGCGGGTGGTTACTAGGAAATTATTGGCCTACCCTGGAAGTAGCCAGGTGGTCACTGGAAAAATGGCCGCCACCCCCCGAAAATAACCACCCCTGCAAGGACAACCAGCGACTGGCCGGCCACCGGCCGGCCGGTCGCTGGTTGCCCCAGCACGCAAGCCTCAGCGGGCGGTCAGTCAACCTCAGTCATATATTGTTAACATCTCCGTACACCAGTCAACATCGCCAAAAACAACGCCTTTCCCCCCTTTTAGACATAAATTATATACCCATAATGGCTTAGTACATAATGGCACCTAAGATTTGTAAGACTCCGACAAGTGCGGGGCAGTCAAGGCACATCGCGACTTTCTTTAGGGCAGCGCAAACTCCAGAAGAGCTCACTCCAGTTAACCTTCCTTCAAAAGCAGGTCCCGGTAGGCCTTTAGGAACTAGTAGGCTAAGCCAACAGCAGAAAAGCGCGGAAGATGCTGAGCCCAACAACGCATCTGCGGACGCTTCTCCTCCAGCCAGCTCAGCTGCCGATGGCGAGGTAGTATGCAGCTCTACGACCTAAAAACCGAAAAATTATCTGGTGGTTACTAACATAACACCCGAAAAGGCCCAAAGTAACCACTTGGCTCCTAAATAATTACCCAGCCTAAAAAGTTTTAAAAACACTGGGCTTCACCATGGGGTGCTACATTGGACCCAGGGAATCCCACCCCTGCCGCCCCCTCCCCTTCCCCTCCCCTGCCGCCCCCTCCCCCTCCCCCCGCCCCCACCTTGATGTCGGGTTTGAGTGCCTTGGTGAACGCCGCAATGCCCGCGATGAGGCCGCCGCCGCCCACCGGCACGAAGATGGCGTCCAGCTTGTCAGGGTCGGATACCTGAATGGGGGGGGGGGAGGAGGGGGAGGAGGAGGAAGTGGAGGAGCGGGGACGGCGGCGTCGTGGGTAGAAATTGAGGTGAGGGGAATGCGGCCTCAGTCGAATACGTGCATACAGCTACCAGCGACCGACCCAATGCAGTCTATGGGCCCGCACATCACCTCTTCCACCCCCCTCCCTTCCTCCCAGCTCCCACCTGTCGCAGGATCTCATCCCCAATGGTGCCCTGCCCCGCAATGGTGTACGGATCATCGTACGGCGGGATGAAGGTGAGCCCCTCCGCCGCCGCCCTGGCCACCGCCGCCGCCTGCGCCTCCTGGTAGCTCTCGCCCACCAGCACCACCTGGCCGCCCAGCTTGCGCACATTGGCCACCTTGATCTCGGGGGTGTTGACGGGCATGCAGATGATGGCGGTGCAGCCCTGTGGTTGAGGGGGGGGGTATATAACAACATTAATAAGTGCAAACAACTAGAGTCGAGAGGGGGAGGGGTAAAGAGGATAGGACTACCGGTAACGAACCATGTGACACGGCGTCATCATGGTTTGCAACATGTGAGCCAGCCCCTGCAGCCGGGAGCCGGAGATGGCATGGTGGGGACTGAAGAAGGAAAGGAACCAGGCCACAGGTGGGGTGAGGGGTGCGGGGGCACCCCGGCTGAGCAGTTGGGGGTAGGGCTGTGCCCGGGGGCCCTGCGCTCTGCCGCCCTGTGCACTACAGCTGCCCCCTTCCCTTCCCCGGTCACCCCTCCCCACCCGCTCTTCCTGTGCGCAACACCCTCAAGGGCTGGGGTTAACCCCCTCCCTCAACCATGAGTCGGGACTGCTTAGTCGGAATTTGGGATAAGGACTCCGTTGCATTGCTTTCCATTCATACATTCCCCCCTCCCTCCCTCCCTCCCTGTTTCCCTCCCCCACACCCCCACCATGCGTGATGCCGCCAGCGCCACCCCCTGCGCGTGGTTGCCCGCCGAGCTGGTGATGACGCCCCGCGCGCGCGCCTCAGCAGGCAGCTTGGCCATCTTATTGTAGGCGCCTGGGAGGGGGGAGATGGAGGGGAGATAGGGGGCCGGTTGCGGGATGAGGGTGGGGTGCTCGAGCTTTCCGCCGGGCGTGATCCCCTCTTGCTGCCCTCACCGGCCCTCTGCTTCACCTCCACAACCTTCAGCCCATGCCTGAGGACAACCAAGGGCCCCCCACCGGGCGCCCCATCTTGCCCATGCTAACCTAGCCCTCACTCAGCTCCAACGGCATGACGTGCTGCAGCCCCACCCCCCTCTCTTTACCCCCCGCTCTCCCTCGCCACTCCAGTGCTTCACTTCTTTCCCTACCCCCCTCCCTCGCCCCCTGCCCCCCACCCACCCCTCAGCTTGAAGGAGAAGACGGGCTGCAGGTCCTCCCGCTTCAGCAGCACCGTGTTGCCCACCGCCTCGCTCAGCTTGCGAGCCTCCTCCAGGGGGGACTGGATCTGCGGGAGGGGGAGGGAGGGAGTGAAGGGGGGAAGCGGAGAGGGGCGCGACGCTAGCAGGCCATGTGCAAGGTGTTCGGACAGGCAACGTGTGAGGAAGGAGGAGAAGCATGTGGGGTTGCATGGGAGTCTGCACGATGTGGGTCAGACGTTGTAGGTGCTTAAAGGTCCCGACACGTGGGACAGGGTGCGCGGGATGCAACGGCGGAGCTACTGGTCCCCGCTTCAGCCCGGTGCTGTGTCGTACCGCAACGTCGTACACGCGCGCTGTGAGGATGGCCCTCAGGTAGCCGTCCGGCTGGAATCGCCACTGGTTGGCAGCGCAGCCACCGGAACCCTGGGGGGTGGTGGGAGCGGTGGGGAAGTGCTTGTACGACATTGGTGGGATATGGGTCGGGCGTTTAGGGGAGGTTGAAGGCGTAAGTGGATGGGTGGGATAGTTGCGTGTGTCCACGGCTTGTGGGTTAAGGCTAGAGCTGTAGCGAAAGCGATGGAGAACGAGGATAGGCAAGATAGAAGGGATCAGCGGATGAAAGCACCACGTGTTGTGTTTGGGTCCCCTGAGGTTGCGACTAGGGTTCCGGTTATCCATCGTTGACATGCTCTGCACCAATGCAACACCCTGCACTTACCTGGCAAGCAGGTTGTGTGCAGCCGAAGCAGCGGAAGACATCGTCAGGCAGGTTGAGACCGGTACGGTCCACAAGGCTAAGCTCTCCTGGTGCAAGCACGAAGTCCTCCGGGACGCAAACAGTTGGCGCGGATGGCGCAGGTGCGCTTGGGCTGGCTACTCCATTGCCGTTTGACGTCTCAAGAACTTGAGGTCTATCACCAGCTACTGTTCGGCAAGCAAGGTTTGCGCCATGTGGGAGCGGTGATTGGACAAGGGCCCGGAAGGGCCGCTGCACGACGGCTGGCGCATGGCAACGTGACCGGACATGACAAGCGCTGCTTTGTGTAGGTGTAAAAGCAAAGCACTTTTCCATTTTATCGTTACGCAAGGGTTTTGCTCTTTGTTGAGCTCCTTCACATAGAGTTTATAGCACCGTGTTGAGAGCAAAACTGGGTCACAAGGATCACAAGGACGGGAAGCCCATTAGAAACAGACGCGAGGTAAGCATGTTGCTTGCAGCTTACGGAATTTGATGTCGGCGCGAATTGCTGTACGACGAGCAGTACTATTTCTGGTTGCACTCCTCCGCGGGCTGCCACACAGGCTGTAGTATTTCAGTCCGTTACACTATAAACGATAGGTCACGATTCTTGTAATTTGCAGGCGCCAAGTGCCGGGTCAAATATATAGCCAGAGCACAGCTCGCCAAGCGCAGCTTTCCTAGCAAAGCGTCTCAGGTGGCATACCACCTAGTTTTCCTTCTATACGTATCTTGGTTGCGCTACAATCTTAGAGGCACGCAGGCGGCGGAGAGTGTCAGCTTGAGTGAACCTCAGACGCGCGTTCCTTGGCAATGCCTTACCCTGCTCTGGCACGTTGAGGACTGTCCCATACATATAAAGGCACGCGTTATGGCATCGCGCGAACGTAGGGTCTCGCGGCCGCCTCTTAAATATGCCGCCCAGGATGGTGAGGCCAGACAAAATCAAAGCTATTCGGAGCAGCTCAGCAGCCGCCAGAAAATATTGAGCAAAGCTTTATTTTCATACCACAACGCAGAGTATTGGGACGGTGGCAGGCGGAAGGATAACAGACCTCTCCGCCAGGTGTATCGTCTCCTTAGACAGAAGGACGTTCGCAAGGATCTTGCAGGCCAGGAGGTCCGTCAGCTAATATGAACCGCTTTCTGTAGCAGTTTTTGACCGTGCAGCTGACGCAATCTTATTCTCCCACCTAGGTGCACGTATACTGGCCAGATAACCAGCAATGGTACAGGGCCACAGTGGAAGAGGTAAATTGCTGAGCCATCTTCGTAGCACGGTGATGTCCAAACGGTCCTCTTCAACACTCTCCCTCCCCTTTCGAAGGTTTCGCTTCAAAAGCCGGAGCCTACTGCGTACCTGCATTACCCAGACACCGACGAGTATGAAGACATCGATCTCAACGAGCTAATTGACGCTAACCAAATTGCTTTCAGTGAGTACTGCTATGTAGGGATCCATCCTGGCGCTCTGGGACATTGCACTGTTTGCTGACCAATGGGCCCCTTTAATGACAGTTGAAACACGTTCAATACACGCCAAGCTCAAGCGCGACGAGATACCCGTCAATGCCACCGATCGGCTAACCGCGGTCTACGAGGATGACGTTGATGGCTCAGAAGGTGATGGCCAAGACGACGCGGACAGCGCGAGCAGTGATGATGAGGGTGATGAGCCGAAGATGTCCCGGGAGCATCATCGACAGGTATGCAAGCAAACCAAGCGGCCAGGTCATTTCGTGATGGATCGCTTAGCAGAGCAACCCTTTATGGCAATCGTGACTGCAGGTCCAGCGATCCAAGAGACCACGAGATGCCTCATTCGACGGCGAGGGTGAGCTTTCGGCGTCTCAACGGTCGCAGTACTACTTTCGCGGCACACCCGCGGAACTGTTGTCGAGCTGCGAAGAGTGGCATGACATAAACTTTTCGTTGCATTGCTGGTGGAATGTTTCTGTGGCAAGCGTGCAGCGCGTCCTCGCACAGGCCGGTCGAAGTTATTACTACCATTCCTCGATGGATGGCAAGGGGAAAGGCTCTGTCCTTGCGAGCGCCGTGTTGCACGTTTTGCACCAGCTTAGTGATTTAACTGTATATAAATTATCTGTGATGATGGATGATGTGGCGTCGCGGAAAGGGCGTCTAAGTTGGTTGTCGTTCGAGCGTATATGTAACCTTTGCACAGTCTTGATGCACAAAGGTTACACCGCTCGCAGCTGCAGCTTGAAGTAAATGCCCTGACCAGGACCCTCATATGAGCTAAATTTGCCTCTAGGCACCATCACGTCGCTGTTTCTTTCTCCGAACAGAGAGCAAATAGCAGCAGGCAGGGCAATGGCATGCAACCACCACGTCCTGCCCAGCGTGGCCCGCATGAGCAGCCGCCTTTACCGGTGCCGTAACACATGTCCTACATAAGCCACGGCAGCTAGCAGTTACTTGGAATATGCTCGCTGCTGGCCTGTATCTGAGACACAACCTTCTCGCAACGACACCCAAGGAATAGCTGGAGGTGGACTGACGCATGTGTGCGTGCTGCTGCTCCCATACACCCACCGTGTGCCGCGCAGGCCCTCATAAGAGGCAAGTAGGCGCTAGCTTGGGCGAGCATGAAGGTTGGTAAGGGCAGGACGACGATGAATGCTTAGAGAGGGGTGCGACCTCCCGGGTTCTTGGGTAAGCCAGTGTGGCACGTCCTGCCTGTCTCCCTTGCCTTGTTTCTTGTGAACGCCATGGGATAAACTAGCCGTAACCCTCCTCCCCCATGCCGACCCCCTCCCCACATCCCCCTCCCCGTTGTCGTACCGCAGATCCCTCCGCCGCCGTACACAACCAACTGCAGCACCTCCAGCACGGCAGCGTCTTTGGCGGCCACCACATCCCTCCCGCCACCCCTGCCGCAGCTGGCGGGGACCCCTCCGCCGCCGCCCTCCCCCCCGGCGCCACCCCTGCCGCCACTGCCCTCCCCCCCGGCGTCACCCCCGCCCCCGACAGCGACATGGCGGAGGCGGAGGCCTTCAAGAACAGCATCATCAGCGCCCTCATGCACACCTTTGCGGGCGGCCCCGCAGCCCCCTCCACCATGATTCCCACGCCCTCGGGCGCCATGATGATGCCCACACCCGGCGGCAGTGCCGGGCACCACACGCCGGGACCCATGATCATGATCCCCACGCCGGGGGGGGCCGGGGGGCACGGTCATCATGGGCACGGGCATGGGCACGGTCACAGCAGCGGCGGCGGCGCGGGTGCGGGCGGAGAGGCGCCGCATTCGGCCCGAGGAGGGGCGCCGGGCAGTGGTCGGCTCAGCAGCCTGCGACACCAAGCCAGCCTGGTAAGGCTGTGGCAGGTTGGGGTGCTCCCTCGCTCTTGCATGCTTGCTTTGCATTCGGTTTCTGCGTCCCCTCCGCACTTGCGATCAGAGCCACCGACTGCTGTGCGACTGCGCCCGCTGCCACATGGCTCTCTCCACCTCCACGAAACCTGCGTGCCTGCCTGCCTGCCCGTATCTCACTCCCTCTCGCGCCGGCCCTTCCTCGCCCTTCTCTTCCACCCTCTCCCGCCCCCCACTCCAGCCCAGTGCCGGCAGCAGCGGCGGCGACGAGGAGGTTCGCTCCAAGGTTCGCGAGCAGCTGGCGGCAGCGCTGCAGCGGGCGGTGGAGGAGCTGCTGGCGGAGGGGTGCACGGAGGCGCTGCCGGCACCGGCGCAGGTGGCGGAGCAGGTGGAGGCGGAGCTGTACAAGCTGCATGGTGAGGGGGGAGAGGGAGGGGGAGGGGAGGGGAAGAGGGTGCAGGATGGGGTACGAATGGGGTGTAGCGGCTGCTGGGGGCTGCTGGGTCATGCGTAGAGACCCGGCCGGTGAGGACTGCCGGTACTGCACAACCGGGGGATCTACCTTTGCCATAAGCTCATAGCGCCTTCACCCTCTCCTCTTCCTACCTACCTTCTTACCTGCCCTACATCTCTGTTACCTTCCCAAGCTGCTGCCCAACTATGCCCCCCCCCCACCCCGCCACCTTTCCCTCTTCCCCAAGACAACTCCGTCAACAAGGACTACAAGGCCAAGGTGCGCTCGCTGTCCTTCAACCTCAAGGACAGCGCCAACCCCGAGCTGCGCGCGCGGGTGCTGCGGCGCGAGCTGGCGCCCGAGGTGCTGGTGACGCTGGGGCCAGCGGAGCTGGCGCGCAAGGAGCTGAGCGAGTGGCGGCAGAAGCGGCAGGAGGAGGCGGCCAAGATGGTGTTTCTGGACGCGGGTGAGGAGGGGAGCTGGGGGGGAGATAAGTGCACTAAGAGGAGGGGGGGTTTGAGAGCAGGGCATGCTCATGGTAGAGCGGCTCAGGGGGGGCACAGGGGCGGGTGCTGGAGGAGCGAAGTCTGGGAGGTCTGGGTGAGAGCTTTTGTACTGGGAACCGGTACTGCTTGTGTGCGTTTGCAACCCAAAGCTCATGGGTCCGTTTGCTTAGGGTAGGGATGAAGCGCCGCCCCATGTGCTTGCTCATGTGTACGACAACGCAGAGACGGCCGCCAAGTTCTCCACGGCCGCGGCGGCCGCCCTGGCGCAGCGCCGCATCAGCCGCAAGGACGAGGACGCGGCGGATGCGGCGGGTGGCGCCGGCAGCAGGTCGGAGGTGTCCCCGGAGCGGGGAGCGGATGCGGAGGAGGGAGACGCCGCCGAGGGCACCGCCGGGGCGTCGACGGCGGCGGCGGGTGATGCAGCCGACGTCGCTGGTGGTCAGCACCACCTCCATGCTTACTCGTTGTCTTCAATGGATTCGGCCGCCGCCGCCGACGTGGCAGCGTCAGGAATGCACGTGACGTCAGCAGACCTGCCTCGTCGTACATCTGTGACGTCGGCGGGCCACCCTGCTCCAGCGGCGGCGACGCTGGCGTCAGGTTCTGACAGCGGCGCGGCGGCGGCGATACCTGCCGCCGCGACGGCCGTTGGAGCGTCCCCGGTCAAGCGGACGGTGCTGCGGGCGGCGCTGCCATCCGTCGTCGCTGGCGGCGGCGATGAAACTCCGCCGCGGACTGATCATGCGGGCGAGGACCAGGACGGAGATGCGCCGTACGATCCGGAGGCAGTGTACGACAATGAGACGCCGTACGACCCGGAGCAGATGATGCCAGGTGACGAGCACATGGATAACGACCGCGAGAACGGCAACCCCGACAATCAGGCTGATGCTGGAATTATGAATGAGGGCGAGGAGGGCGACCTGCCCGTGTATGTGCCGTACGGTGCAGCGCCTGCGACAGCAGCAAAGCCAGCTGGTGGGTGGGGAGGGAAACGCGAAGCGAAGCCAGCAGATACCACATGTCACTCTATCTACATCATTGCGCGGCTCCCAACAATTGTCCTCCCTGCGCTACGCATGAGGCATAGACCAGCCCTATCCCCTCCCCTCCTCCATACACCCCCCCCATCCCAACCTGCCTGCCTCTCTCCCTCAAACCGCCCCCCTGCCCGGCATCCACCCAACCTACCCGGACCCACCCCGCGCAGGTGCCCCCTCCGTCGCCTCTCTGCGTGGCGGCCCGGCCGCCCCCCCCCACCACCACCACTCCCACCACCACCAGCACCATCATGCAGCAGCCGGCGCCCCACCTGCAGCCGGCCAGGTGGAGCGGCAGTCCTCACTGTCCTCTCCGCTGCGCTCCCCGCCCGCTGCGGCAGTGGCGGACCTGGCCCCCGTCATACAGCGGCAGGAGCTCGGGGAGGGGCCGATGCAGGAGCTGCCACAGGATGCTGTGGGCGAGCCGGTGAGGGAGGGGGGGGGAGGTGTATGGGTTACCGGTAAGCAGCGATGTGGGCCGAGGCGACACATGGCGCCCTTTCATGTGCTGCGTTTTGTTTTTTAACCAACTCACGCACATATGTTCGTTTTTCTGGTATCCTCCGCTGCATGCACGCTTGTCGTACACGCAATCATGCTTGCTTCCCCTGACCCCGACCTCCCTGAAGCCTGAACCCCACCCCTGTCCCCGCCCAACCCCTGCCCCCGCACAGCTGTGGCAGGGCGTGCTGCGGGTGCCTGGCCAGCCCTCCGACCAGGTTGTGGTGGTGGAGGTGTCGTACCTGGGCGGCAGCGGCAGGCTGGGCCCCATGCTGCGCTGCGCCGAGCCGCCCAATGAGCTGCTGGTGAAGGGGCAGGTGGGTGGGGTTGGCGCGCGGGGGTGTATACCGGTAGGGCTTGTGGTGGCTGCTGCTATCTTTTCCTTAGCGTGGCAGTTTGTCCTTTCTTCCTCCTACGGGTTGGTAGGCCTGGTAAAGCATGGGCTCTTGAGCTTTTAGATGCCTCAAAAGTAAGAACTGGATAACGAGGTACCTTGTGGGCGGCGTCGAGATCTGCACACAACAGCCCAACCAACCAATTACTTGTAAGTTTTAACCGAAACCAACCAACCGTTCTCACATGGTTCACGGCACCATGGCTGCAGGTCAAGGTCTCCCGAGTGGAACAGTTTTTCGAGGAGCTCCGCCGCAGCCGCTCTCGCACCATCACCCTGGCGCTCGTGCGACCCATGGGTCACGACGCCGCCGCGGCAGCGGGACTGGCGGAAGCCGCAGCTGCTGCTGACGCGTGCGGTGGCATGGCGGAGTTTGTGGCGCAGCACCGCAGCCGCACCGGACTGGCCACCCCTCAGGGCGCGCTGGAGGCGTATCTGGTGACTCGCGGCGGGCTAGCGGCTCGGCTGCTGAAGACGGCGCGAGTGGTGTGTCCGGCGCATCAGGTAGGGAAAGGGTACAAAGGGTTGCTGCTCCTTGAAGGTGTGACGGGACAGTAGGACACGTTTCTTCGCAGCCGTCGCTACAGCTGAGATGAGCCCCAGCCGGTGCTTCTCGTGCCTTCATGGCTTCTGTGGTATGTGGTGGTCTGTGACAGCCCTGATAGCCCCCCCCCCCACCGTGGAATTTCTTTTTTTCCCCACCATTTAACATCACGTACATTACACAGCTTCGTGCCTACGTTGCCTACGTCCTGATGTGCCACCAGCAAAGCACCAATACGGCAACCCCCGCACCTGTCTCCCCATCTCCTCCCCCCCCCCCCGACCCACCCCCCATGTCGTACAGTTGGCGCTGCTGCCGGAGGATATCGGTGAGGACCAGCTGCTGCTGGCCATGGTGCATCCGCGAACCTGGGAGCCGCCGCCACACGCCCTCATCGCCCCCGCCCCCGCCCCGCACCCCCAGCATCACCACCAGCATCACCACCATCTGGAACAGCACCAGCACCACCAGCAGCCTCCTCAAGGCCATCACCACCACCAGCCCTTCCCGCAGTCAGAGCCGAGTCCCGACCCCAGCCTGTACTTCCCGGCCGCTTCCGAGCCCCTGGACCTGTCCGGCGGCTCCGCAATGGACCCTCGGCTGCTCCGAGCCGGCGTGCCGCCGCCGCCAGTAGCGGCAGACGTTCCGCCGTCGCAGGCGGCGGCGGCACCAGCCGCTGACGCCGGTGCGCCCGGCGGCTTGCCGATCGACCTGGGTGCGCTGAGCGACCTGGCGGCGGCGCTAGGAATTCCAGGAGGCGGCGGCGGAGCAGCGGCGGCGGCCGCGGCAGCGCCGCCTCCGGCGCTGCCGCCGCCAATGGCGGCGGCCTCCCCACCTCCTCCTGCCGCCGGCGCAGCCACACAGCTGGTGACGATGGTAATGCAGAACCCGGACGGCTCCCTGGCCATCGTCGCGGTGCCGCAGAGCGCAGCGCCGCTGCCGCAGCAGCCGCCGCCAGCTGGCCCGGTGCTGCTGCCGCCGCCCGCCGCCGGCCCCTCGGGCGGGCCTCCTCCTCCTCTCCATCCGCACTCCCATCCGAGTGGCGGCTATCCACACGCCCAACAGCCCCCACCGCATCAGCAGCAGCAGCCGCCACCCCTGCACCACGGCACCAGCCCGCACCCTCACCCCGATCACGCCGGAGCTCCGCCACCGTACATGCCGCCACCGGGCCACTCTGGGTCGTACGGCGAGCCGCCGCCGCCAATGCACCGCGAGCATCACTACCCGTACGGCGGGCCGCCAGGGCCACGCGGCGGCGGCGGAGGGCCTCCGCCGCCGTACATGGAGGTCCCACGTGGGGCCCCTCCCCCGCACCACCACGGCTATCCTGAGCCGTCGGAGCCGTACTATGCCGGCAGCGGCGGACCCGGCGGCCCACCGCCGCCGCATCACTACTCGCATCACCCGCCGCATGAGGCAGGCGGGGGCCCCGACGGCCGCCCGCCTCCGCCGTACGACTACCCCGGCTATCCGCCGCGGCACGAGGGGCCTCCTCATGGCGAGGGGCCGCATGGCGGCATGTACGACGATCCGTACTACGATCCGTACCACCGAGGTGGACCTCCGCCGCCGCATGATCCCTACCGTGGCGGCGGCGGGGGACCTCCTCCAGGTAGGGGAGGTCGGGGGCCGCCGCCTGGTGCACGGGGCTGGGGCGGCGAGCCGGGTGGCAGTCGGAGAGGCGGTGGAGGACGTGGCCGTGGTGGGGGCGGCGGGAGAGGCCGTGGCGGCCCTGAAGATGTGTACGGCGGTGGCGGGTATGGGTACGATGCTGGTGGAGGGTATGGAGGTCGCGGCGGGAGGGATCGGGACTGGGGCGGCGGAAGGGAGCGTCGGGAGTGGGAGGGAAGGGAGTGGGAGGGAAGGGAGTGGGAGGGAAGGGATCGTGGGTACGGTCGGCATGAGGGGCATCATCACCAGCCGCGTTGAGGAGAAGGGATGGGAACGTGGGCGTTGGGGGGCTTTGCGGGTTGGGGTCTTTGCAATGCGTTGATGATAAGGCCTGGAAGGAAGGCCATGCTGGGGCATATGCTGCATGGCGCAATACTAGAACAATGAATGGAGTTCAATTCTGCCAACTAGACCTGTTTCCTTGGCTTTGGGATACATACATATGGACGATGGCTGTTGTCTTGAAAATCGAAACCATGCTAACGAGTTGTTTCGACTTTAGACTGCCCTACCAAAGGACTGCTGCGATTCGAGGAGCGTCTGTGCGCCCTCATGGCCATGCCCGTTTATTTGTTGGCGTAGGAAGAGCTTTCGCACAGCGGTTGTAGGTATTGTTGTTGCTGGGCAAACCTGATTACTGACCGTCTTGGTGACACACTTGTACATGGACCATGGACGACCCCTTTACAGTTCATAAAAAAGGAGGCTTTTTGTTGTGCTATGTTTGTTAACCCCGAACAAGTCTTAACCTCGAGAGGCAAGACAAGTGGGTCCGGTCAAGGCCCGATAGTCCTTTGGTCCTCCTTTGGTAATACATCAAGGACAAGACAAGACTCTGTCTTCCTCCTGCAAGGGTCGCAACACTAGGACCCTTCATACCCACACGGTTTCTCAGGCAGTCACAGCCCTTCTGCTCTTCTGTACTTGTCCTTCTGTCAACCCTTGACACGCAAGTACCCAGTACAGCAGCAACAACCTACGATCTCTTACTACTGATAAGTCTTAGGTGGATACACGTGCTTGGACAATAACCCCGTTACACTACTTCCGCACGCTTACAAGTCTCAATATACAGCCCTGTAAGTAGCCTTCAATACACAGTGGTGAGGTGGTGAGGTTAAAGTGTAGTGTGTCGGCGCCGCACGGCACTACATAGCAACAGCAGTGACATCTAGGGGCCTAGGGAAGCACTTAGGCTTAAAGTGGCTCGCCCCTGAGTCGGGGGGTGGGGATAAGAAATTTATTTGTAAACCCCATCATGAATTTTTGAAAGGGTAGGTCATGGGGCAACCAACCCACCCCTGCCATACGGAAAGCAAGCCGTACAATGTGCAAATTTCAACAATGTGCAACCGCCCGGGAAAAAAAGCTGTTAGACTCCTTTGCTTAAGCTCTATTTAGTGCTAAACAAATACCCAGAACCCCCTTGGGAGACGGGCAGAAAACTACCACTGCCACGTCCCTGACCCTGGCCCCTGCCTCCTCTTCCTCCTGTCGCGCCACACCTGGATCACCACCCACGGCGCCACTTCCCACATCCGCTACAGAATGCACTGCATCCCCCACTCCATTCCCTCGCCTGCTGCTGCACAGCCGCTGCTGCTTTTGAGTGCTGCAATTCGACCCTCAGCCATGTGACCCATCCTGTCGCGCTTAAGAACTGAGTGAAACTTCTTCCTAACAACTTTGTGCAGCTCCGTCAGCTGTTCATCGGGGTGGGCGTGCTGCAGATCATCCGGGTAATTGTACCACACACTCCACATGACCTTCATGATATGATTGGCGGCACATGCGGTGCACACAACTAGACGCGTTCGCGACCTCCGCATATGCTTTTTCCTCTAAACGTTGTTTCTTATTCGTTGGGGCAAATTGGGAACCAGGCGGTTCCATTTGGGCTATTGTAGTTCAGACATGAAGCGTCATCGGACCCATGAGAAGCTGAAAATGGTTCCGTTTGTTGCTGTAACTAGTTTCATCTTAAAAAAAGTCATTGAGGCTCCGGACCCACCCACCCACCCCTGCCGTACAACCAACTTTACAAGCCCATTTTTCTTTGTAACTCCAAACAGAATTCTGAAAGCGGATTCGGAATCCCCACGCTGAGCTCCTATAATTTGGGGTCTATTTTTGCAGTTACTGCCCCCCTGCCTGAGTCACGAAAAAATTCCTCTTAGGTGTGCGCCGCTTTACGCGGCGAATCATGACAGCCTTAATTTCATCAAGGAATGTTGTTCTGAACTACTTATGCTTTGCAGCCATCCTTTCCCATTTGTTACCCGCCCGGCACATCGCCGTCGGCGGAACAACCCAATTGCTAGGTCGCAATCGCAATTATGATATAAAAACGACGTATATTTTAAGGGGAAAACTTGCACCAGCTGAAAAAGGTTCCATAAGTTATGAGTTATCAAAATTAGGCATGCCTAATAATACAGCAAGCCGGGCAAACAATGTGGAACAGTGACGTAAAGCAGCAATTGGTTGTATCTTGCACAAAGTACTAACACGCTGGCATTACTCTTTTGTTGGTGCAACGATATTTCCAATGACGCACGAAGATCGATTCCCTTTTACGGAACAACCCTATTGCTAGGTCACAATTGTAATTATGATATAAAAACGACGTATATTTTAAGGGGAAAACTTGCACCAGCTGAAAAAGGTTCCATAAGTTATGAGTTATCAAAATTAGGCATGCCTAATAATACAGCAAGCCGGGCAAACAATGTGGAACAGTGACGTAAAGCAGCAATTGGTTGTATCTTGCACAAAGTACTAACACGCTGGCATTACTCTTTTGTTGGTGCAACGATATTTCCAATGACGCACGAAGATCGATTCCCTTTTACGGCGCCCGTTCTTGCGTGCAAAGGCGCCGATATTGCGCCCCTTAAGTCGGGCTTAAAACTGATCTAAGGAATACGCGAACTGGCCGTGATGACATTTTCTGCAACTTAAAAACCCACAGGTGAGCTACCGAAAGCCCTACCTACTGGCAGTACCAACTGAGGCAGACCTTCTATATAAGCCATTTCAGCCCCCGTTGGACGCATAAACGCATATGGATCCCAGTTGCGAATTATTTGGTTACTATGCTTCCTAGCCCTAGAGGACTACGGGTCCTCTGGTGGTTCGTCGTCGTCGTCGTCCTCGGCGCTTGCAGAACTTCAGCAGCCAGCGCTGGCGCGCCTCATGTTGTGCTCTACCAGAGCGAACTGAATGACGTCCTGGACCTGAAGTGGGATAATGGGCCCCAAATCCTTGAACGCCAACTGCGTCAACTGGGCCTGACAGTCGCCAGCGCAACTGTGGGCCAGCCCGTTCTCACCGGTCCATACACGCCAGATGCGTACGTCGTTCCATTTCTGAATGAGCATAGCTTTTATGCTTTATCCGAGAACCTGCGAGAGGTATCCTCTTACATTTCAGCTGGTGGGCTTGTCATCCTTTTGGATGCCGCCAGCGGCGAGTGCCAAGCAACGCGGGACTTTGTCGCTGCCGCTTTGGGCTATGCAGGTGACTAAGTAGATGCTGTGCTTGGCATGCCTCACTTTTGCTGGCCCGTAATGACACCTTCATTTCCGCACACATTGCGGCAACCTGCCAGATCTTGCGTGCAGCTAACAACACTTTGGCTTCTGGCTTATCAGGCAGTTGGGAAATGTGCGAGCGCACCGGGAAGTCTGAGACAGCTCGTCGCACGGGTCGCAGCTCATCAGATGCTCCAACGTTAAGCAAGCATGCCTTCGACTTCCCAAAGGCCGAAGTCAACAATTGGCCCCTTACGCTTGAAGACACGCACGTCACAAGCACCCTTTCCTGGTGCCAACACGAGGACTTGCGAGCGCTCTCCATCCCGCTGTATGACCTTATGGGTGATGAAACATTGGTCGCAGCACAAGTAAGTCATCAGCATTAGAGATTTGATCGAATTTAAACTAGAGAAGCCATTTCCTGGACTGCATACGAGGGAAGAGACGTAATTCGGACTATGAGTAGTAGTGGATCACCGTGCTTCTGGTCACCATAACTAAGCCGTACAGCTACAGCCCGCAAATTTTGGAATCCCTTGGATTCTGCAGTTGACACATTTACAAACAGCACCGCACGGGGGTCGGCTATGGGACTATCCTTCCTCTTTTCTTTTTTCCCCTACCTCTACCCAGCTTACTCAGACCTGTCCACTCTTCTTCTACCCTTGCAGGCGTTCATGCGGGATGGCGTCCCTGGCGCCGTGGTGTGGCTGGGCTACAGCTGGATGGACGGGCCACAAGAACACTGGGGTCACCTGCTGTTCAACCTGATCTCTGACTTCGCGAGGGGTGAGTAGTGTTGCTAGCGCATCGCCACACAACTCAAGCTACCTACCATCCAAGTGACAAGGCTCCTATTAAGCTCCTCTATCGTACGCTGCCTCGCTGAAAGCCAACGTGCGCCATGAATGTGCTTGCCTCCCCTTCCTACTTCTCCTTCTCACCCCACTGCTCCGCTCCTCTGCTCCCCTTCCCCTCCCAGGTAGCCCCCAGGAATCTACGACCCACACTGAAACATCCGCTCTGTCCTCCCCAAGCGCATCCCCGTCCTTGGACAACATCTTCTTAATCGCCTCCTCTTCCGCCTCTGGCTCGGATGGTGCCCTGACGGAGGCCGTCCGCCGCCTCATCCAAGACATGTCATCCGTGGGGCCGGCAGTGTATCCACCGCCGCCCTCACCTGACCCGCCCGGCCACCCTTCACCGACCTCACCGCTCCCGCATCCCTCAACGCCCATGCCTCCATCGGACCCCTTGATGCCGCCATCCTCGCCACCCAAGCCGCCCAGGCCGCCCAAGAAGCCGCCTCTCCGTAAGCGCCCACCACCCGCCATGCCCCCAACCCAGACGCCACTCCAACCACCCGCCATGCCCCCAACCCAGCCGCCACCCCCCCCTCCCCCGCCCCCTCCCCCACACCCTTCTCCCAACCCTGCGCCGCCGCCTCCACCCCCTCCACCTCCTCCTCCTGCCACCATGCTCCTGCCTCCACCCCCGCCTCCGCCCCCACCGCCACCTCCTCCCTCTTCACCGCCGTTTGGCCACCCTTTATCACCTCCTCCTGACTCACCTCCACCACCTCTAGCCAGCCCTCCTACATATGTTATGTCTCATCCTCCACCTCCACCACCGCCGCAACCGCATCTGCCCCTACGTTCGCCTCCTCCACCCCCATCCCCTCCACCTCCCCCGCCCCCGGGCCATCCGTCACCACCCCCTCCCAGTCCACCCCCGTCACCTCCACCTTCTCCCACCCCACCACCAAGTCCAAGACCGCCACTCCCTCCTTCCCCGCCACTTCCGCCTCGACCATCACCCCCACCACCCTCACCCCCGCCACCACGCCCGTCGCCCCCTCCCTCGCCGCCTCCTCCTCGCCCGTCGCCCCCTCCCTCACCCCCGCCACCACGCCCGTCGCCCCCTCCTTCGCCCCCGCCTCCTAAGCCGTCGCCCCCTCCCTCGCCGCCTCCTCCTCGCCCGTCGCCCCCTCCCTCACCACCGCCACCACGCCCGTCGCCCCCTCCTTCGCCACCGCCTCCTAAGCCGTCGCCCCCTCCCTCACCACCGCCTCCACGTTCATCGTCGCCGCCCTCACCACCGCCTCCTAAGCCCTCGCCCCCTCCCTCGCCGCCGCCTCCTCGCCCGTCACCCCCTCCCTCACCCCCGCCACCACGCCCGTCGCCCCCTCCTTCACCCCCGCCACCACGCCCGTCGCCCCCTCCTTCGCCCCCGCCTCCTCGGCCGTCGCCCCCTCCCTCGCCACCGCCTCCTAAGCCGTCGCCCCCTCCCTCGCCCCCGCCTCCTCGCCCGTCGCCGCCGCCCTTGCCCCCCCCTCCTAAGCCGTCGCCCCCTCCCTCGCCACCGCCTCCTAAGCCGTCGCCCCCTCCCTCCCCCCCCGCCTCCTAAGCCGTCGCCCCCTCCCTCGCCACCGCCTCCACGTCCATCGCCGCCGCCCTCGCCCCCGCCTCCTCGGCCGTCGCCCCCTCCCTCGCCACCGCCTCCTAAGCCGTCGCCCCCTCCCTCCCCCCCGCCTCCTAAGCCGTCGCCCCCTCCCTCGCCACCGCCTCCACGTCCATCGCCGCCGCCCTCGCCCCCGCCTCCTCGGCCGTCGCCGCCACCCTCGCCACCGCCTCCTCGGCCGTCGCCCCCTCCCTCGCCACCCCCTCCTCGGCCGTCGCCCCCTCCCTCGCCACCGCCTCCTCGGCCGTCGCCGCCTCCCTCGCCACCGCCTCCACGTCCATCGCCGCCGCCCTCGCCCCCGCCTCCGAAGCCGTCGCCCCCGCCCTCGCCCCCGCCTCCGAAGCCGTCGCCCCCGCCCTCGCCACCCCCTCCTCGGCCGTCGCCCCCTCCCTCGCCACCGCCTCCTAAGCCCTCGCCCCCTCCTTCGCCACCGCCTCCACGTCCATCGCCGCCGCCCTCGCCGCCTCCTCCACGTCCATCGCCGCCGCCCTCGCCGCCTCCTCCTCGCCCGTCGCCCCCTCCTTCACCACCGCCTCCTAAGCCCTCGCCCCCTCCCTCGCCGCCTCCTCCTCGCCCGTCGCCCCCTCCCTCGCCACCGCCTCCTAAGCCGTCGCCCCCTCCCTCGCCACCGCCTCCTCGGCCGTCGCCCCCTCCCTCGCCACCCCCTCCTCGGCCGTCGCCCCCTCCCTCGCCCCCGCCTCCCCGCCCGCCTCCCCCGCCCTCGCCCCCGCCTCCTCGCCCGCCTCCCCCGCCCTCGCCCCCGCCTCCTCGCCCGCCTCCCCCGCCCTCTCCACCTCCTCCTAGCCCGCCTCCCCCGCCCTCGCCCCCGCCTCCTCGGCCGTCGCCCCCTCCCTCGCCCCCGCCTCCCCGCCCGCCTCCCCCGCCCTCGCCCCCGCCTCCTCGCCCGCCTCCCCCGCCCTCGCCCCCGCCTCCTCGCCCGCCTCCCCCGCCCTCTCCACCTCCTCCTAGCCCGCCTCCCCCGCCCTCGCCCCCGCCTCCTCGCCCGCCGCCGCCGCCCTCGCCCCCGCCTCCCCACCCGCCTCCCCCGCCCTCGCCCCCGCCTCCTCGCCCGCCTCCCCCGCCCTCGCCCCCGCCTCCTCGCCCGCCTCCCCCGCCCTCTCCACCTCCTCCTAGCCCGCCTCCCCCGCCCTCGCCCCCGCCTCCTCGCCCGCCTCCCCCGCCCTCGCCCCCGCCTCCCCGCCCGCCTCCCCCGCCCTCGCCCCCGCCTCCTCGCCCGCCTCCCCCGCCCTCGCCCCCGCCTCCTCGCCCGCCTCCCCCGCCCTCTCCACCTCCTCCTAGCCCGCCTCCCCCGCCCTCGCCCCCGCCTCCTCGCCCTCCGCCCCCGCCCTCGTCACCACCGCCTCGCCCGCCTCCCCCACCCTCTCCACCTCCTCCTCGGCCGTCGCCGCCGCCCTCTCCGCCTCCTCCTCGCCCATCACTGCCGCCCAAGCCGCCGCCGTCACCCCCTCCTAGGCCGCCGCCGTCACCGCCTCCCAAGCCGCCACCATCACCCCCTCCTAGGCCGCCACCGCGGCCTTCGCCTCCACAACAAAAGTAACAGAAAGAGCAACAGTTCAAGATTGCCCTGTAACTGCCAAAACAGAGCGGTATCAACATGTGGATGGAACACTGAAACGTTTCCGTCCCGAGCCTACATGTTCAGCAGTATGTTGTTACGCTGAAAATGGGCTCCTCTCGTCGAGGGTGTGCGCGTACTGTTAGGAGCGTAGTATGCCCCACACGGTATCGTGATGCGTGGGGCATCTCTGTTTCTCGTCCGGGTCCTTACGCCCGGTTGACGGCTTTATGTCTGCCTGCGAGCCCGGTAATAACGCATCAGGCTCAATCGGTCACGCTGTTTGTTTGCGCAAATCCTAACAGTAGATAGGCGAGGCAGCAAGCAGCATGTTGCATAGGCAGGGCAAATCATGCATGCATGGCGCCACCCGCTATGCTGGCCTGCGCATCATTGAAAATACGTGGCTGCGCGGATGGATGTGTTAAGAAAACTGGCCGCGTGTCGGAACGTACGGTAATTGTTGGATGGATGTGTTTACGTACGGCATGTGCCAAGCAAGTGGGATGCGATTGAGATGGTGGTGATACGGTATGTAGCGTGGTGTCTGCAAAACACGTGTTTGCAAAGCATACCCCAGCCAGCAGCCGGGGTTGCTGTGTGTGTGTGTGTGTGTGTCGGAGCGCGTGGTTGGATTGCCCATGTGGGTGTGTGGGTGTGTACGTGTCGAGTGTGGTTACGTTGGGGTGTCATTCTGTGTGTTTGAATCAACCCCCTGTGTATGTGTGCATGCGAGTCGTGGTTAGGTTGTGGGGTTACCGTACCTTACCTGTGTTGGTTGCTGAGGTTGTCGTTAGTTCTGAAGGTGAAAAAGCGTGGGGTTGGAATGCAAGCAAACTCGCTATTACGGCAAACTGGCTATTACGGCAGCATCCTGCGCGGACGACCTCACTTGAGCGAGTGCCACCAGCCGACATGCTGGATTATTGGCCCTAGCTGACATGCAAGAAGATGTAAGCTACGATTGTGTAAGATGACCTGTGCAGCGACAACAGGGTCATAACGCACCCCACGATCACCATTGCCGCATACGCTGCAGCCGACCGGTACCTTCGTGCTGTGCATAAACTCAAATCTGCGTGCAAGTTGGGGTGAGGGGAGCGGGAGTAGTGTGGTGGAAAGGACGACGCGGGCAGGGGTCAAAAGGACGCATGCAAGGGATAAGAGGAGACGGACAAGAGACAAGGGCCAAGCCTGACGGCTTGTAAGCAGAATGAATGCCGGGGGAAATCCGGAGTGGAAGGGAAAATCGGTGACGCGGGAGGAGGGCGGGGGCCAGTAGGAAGGGGTACAGCAGGATGGGGGGACGGGCGGGGTGCCGGGAAGGCGTTTACGGTAGTAATGTACTATGGCATTAACATCGAACAAATCCGCAACCCAAAACAACTTGGAGAGCTATGACACGAGAGCGGTAGGAGTACGAGATGTGGAAAGGGTGGATGGGGAGACCAAACATTCCAGCAGGCTTGCTAGCCATCTAATAGAACATAGCTGCATTTATTGTCGTGACCTACGGGCTGGATTGCGAACGCATACGGCTTTGTACTTGCATCCGCTGTATGCTATGTGTGTAGTTGGGCTGAGAGTTCCGAGAGCAACACGGTCGATGATTAGCCGAAAAAAAGTTGCTCACAAGCGCATACTCAAAATCGCATGATGGTCCACTTTGCACTGCATGTGTAATACCACGACAGCTCGGACCAACATAACGGAAACGTCAAATAGCTGTATCACGCAGACATCCAAACCTGAAAGCAGAGGCTATCTTGTAAAGGACTTGTTTCCATATCTAAATGGAGTAAGCTGCCTTTGTAAAGTCGCATAATAGTTGCATGTGTCAGTTCGCTTAGGTCCATTGAATGCTGCCAGTTGTCTCGGCTATCCTTTTAGGCAGTAAGCGCTGGAGTAGGCATGTTGCTGGTGTGATTCATGATTGGCAAAGGCATGCAACGCCGTCATGTACCGGCGCGCAAACATGCGCCGATGGCTTCAGCCAGCAGTTCCGACATTTTGGCGACTGGAGGTCCATGTTTCGTAGCAGCAGCGGGAGCGGAAGTGCGGCTCAGCAATCGGTCGGACTCTTTGGGCGACCTGAATTGAAGCAGCCACAGGACTGGAAACGCCTCGCGGATGAAACTGAAGCAAGGTCTGAAGTGCTGTATTGCAATTTAGGTTGTCATCTGTCCCGTTCACGCGAACCCTACCCCAAACCCTGGTCACGCCAGTTGCTTTGGCTTTGTCGCGGCCTAGGACCGAAAAAACTACCCTCTCCTTGCCTCGACGCGGACCGATTGTGGCTTCTACCGACGGCGGGAGCATACCTCTATTTCGGGCCTTAGAATCGGTTGCCGCCCTCTTCCTTTGCAGCCTGCTTCCTCCACCCCACTCCCCACCCACCCACCCCCGCTCTGTCGCATGCATGCATGCGTGCCTCACATGTCAAAAAACCCGCATGCTCTTCCTTTCCCAACCCCTTTCCCTCCTATACTTCCCCCGGGAAACCCAGATGCGACGAGCTGCTTGCGGAGGTGCTGGAGTGTACGGCGTACGACGGGGTCCGTGTGGTTGCCCTCATGGACGCCATGTCAGACCAGGTGTGCCTTCTTGAATTGGCTGTCAAAATGGACTGTCAAAAAGGGAGGAGGGGTCACGGGCGCGTAGGGCAACAGCTATCAAATCGTCCGGCTCTTCCGCTCTTTACCGTTGGCATGGCTCTTGCTCTTGCAGAGCATGATCAGGACTTGCGAGGGGGGTAAAGAGGAACCTGACAGAGGGTTAGGGAGGCACGAAGGCGGTTCCTGGACTTGCAACCGTGTTGTCTTTGTCCAGTCCTTCATTCCGGCGCTTGCCGCTGCCACAGGCGCCGAGTACGCTACTGCGAATAAAACTTGTAGAATAGATTAAAAATGTAAAAGTGGATGGTGTACGGCAACTCGGGTATAACCTTCTTCTATAAGGACTTCAACGCTGCTCTCCCCCCCCCTCCCGGATCCTGCGCAGTTGTGTCGTACATATGATGCGGCGGAGTGCTGTCGTAACGTGCATGTGGATGCGGCATGGCGGCAGGCGGCGGGGCGCGCGTGTGTGCAGCTGGGAGGTAGGGGGGTGCAGCTGGGAGGTAGGGGGTTGCAGCTGGGAGGTAGGGGGGTGCAGCTGGGAGGTAGGGGGGTGCAGCTGCAATGAAAGGGGAGTGGGTCAGCGGGGGCGCACCGTGTACGGTTGCTGCTGCATGCCCCTCCGGGACCGGCTGGGGAGCCCCCCCACAGGGCCGCCGGGGAGGTGCGAGCAAGCTCGCTGCGGCTGTGACTCCGCCCCCTCCCGCCTCCCACCTCCGCCAAACCCTGTATTCCCACCCGTTCCTCACCCCTCCCCAACCCTCCCCTCCCCCCGCCCGCCTCCATGTGTTTTCCTTCCCCTCCCCCCTCTACCCCAGCCTACATCTCCCGCGTGAACCACCACGAGGGGCTGTACGGCCGGCTGAGTGAGGCGCTGGAGGTGTACGAGGTGTCGGTGGAGGCACTGGCGCGCAGGGAGGCGCCGCTGGTGAGGGAGGGAGGGAGGGAGAGGAGGGAGAGGAGGGAGAGGAGGGAGAGGAGGGAGGGAGGGAGGGAGGGGAAGGGAGGGTACAGAGGAAACAACTAACCATGACTCCATGAGGGAGGGAGGGAGGGAGGGAGAGGAGGGAGGGAGGGAGGGAGGGAGGGAGAGGAGGGAGGGCGGGCACAGAGGAAACAACTAACCATGAGGGAGGGATGGAGGGGAGGGAAGATGGAAGGCCTGATGGGGTTGGGTTTGTTGTGATGCGCGGTATGTGAGGCGGGTCGGTGGCGGCTCTAGCATGGAGGGAGGGAGGCAGGGCTGAGGTGGGGGGAGGCGCGGCTGCCGTTTGTGATGTGCTGGAGGGGCCCTATGGCGGCATGCGGGGCTCCAGGCGGCGCCTCAGCCTGGAAGGCCCCCGCGCCCCCCTCCTGGCGTCTTCCTCTCTTCTTGTCTTCCTGTCCTTACGTTTGGCACAACCCCACCGCCGTTGCTTGCCGCTACCGCAATCACCCAACACATGTGGTCTTGTTCTTCTTCTTCACTACACCACCGCCCATGCCACCCTCACCCCTTCCTTGCCACCCTCACCCCCCCCCCCTTGCCACCACTCACTGCATGAGTCGGGATATGGGATTGGGACTTTAGTTGTTTGCATTTCATATATAATTTTCCCCCCTTGCCACCACCCTCCCTGCAGCTGCAGCCCAACAGGCTGGCCGGCTGGTGTCCGGAGAGCGTGCTGGTGGCGCAGAGGCTTAAACAGGACATGGAGCAGGTGCGGAGGGGGACAAATAATGAAACACGGAGGGGGGTGAGGGAAGGGGGGTGAGGGGGTGAGGGGAGGGGGGATCAAAGACCATACCAAACTATAGGAGACCACAGGTTAGGGGGAAGGGGGAGGGGCGCGTAGTTGTTGGCAGGAGGGTGAGGCGTGTCGAGTAGGTATGGTGGAGGGCGGGGAATGTGGGGGAGGACCCGGGGACCCGGGGTGGAACGCGTGTGTGTTTAGGAAACTGTGTGTTTGGGTTTTCCTTGCCACGCCCTGTCTCGTTTGCTCCTTCACCTTCCCTCCCTCGCCCTGTCCTCTCCCCTGTCCCGTCCCGCCTGCCCCCTCCCGCCATCATTTAACACACTGGGTGTTCTTCCTCCCCCCTTTTCTCCCCCCCCCCAGGCCGGCATCCACCTGCCCCCCGACCAGCGGGAGCGAATGGCCGAGCTGGCGGCGGCTAACGGGCATTTCGGAGCGGAGTTTAATGCGGCGCTGGTAGGAGGGAGGGGAGGGGAGGGGGAAGGGAGGGGGGTTCCTCCCCTGGAGCTGCCTCTGGGTCACCTCGGGCTACCGAGTGGTGGATCAGAACCACCCGCTCGCCCCTCCCCCTCATGCCGTGTATAGCATCGCTCATCCCCGCCATACAACCCATACTAACTCTCTGGCCCCACCCCGCCTTACCTCCGCTCACCTCCTCAACATCCCCCTCCTCCCTTCCCCCTTCCCCCCTGCAACCCATGTTGACGCCTTATCCCTCAATCAGTTAGTTGTTTCCTCTTTACCCTTCCCCCCTGCAGACCGACCCACGCCAGGTGGGTCGCGTGTCACTGGGTTTCGGCCGCAGCGCCCCCCTGGACCCCTCCTCCGTGGCCTCGATCATGGCTTCGGAGCCCAGCGAGAGTGTACGGCGACAGGTGGGAGGGAGGGGGTGCTAGGGGGGGGGGGGAAACGGGGCTGCATGGTTACCACTGGGGGGTTGGGGAGACGGGGCCGGTGTGTGTCGACGGGGGCAGAATCGGTGTGGGTGCTGCGTGGGTATATTGATGGGCGGGGTACGACGTGAAGCAGCTCATGGTGAGGCACGGGCCCCCCCTCGTCATCCGGTCAGCGAGTCTCTTCCTCTTCCTCTTCACCCCCTCATCATCCCTATGACGGCTGCATGACCCTGGTGTGAGGCCCCTCCCCCATTCCTAACCCGCCCACCCACCCCCCTCTCAGATTCCTCCTTTTCACCCCTCCTCTCGTGCCCCCTCCCTTCCCCCCTCCCCTCCCCCCCCAGGTGTATCTGGCTGCTGGCCTCAGCCCCGACTGCAACCAGCGGTTGTTGGAGGATATGATTGCCGTGCGGAGGGACATGGCGAGGATGCAGGTGGGGGGGTGTGGGGGGATGGCGGGGGTGGGTAAAGAGGAAACAACTAACTGACTGAGGGATAAGGCATCAACATGGGAGTGGGGGGGGTGGCGGGGGGTGGCGGGGGTGGCGGGGGGGTTTTAGGCACGCGGGATGTATTACAAGGGGAGTGGGTGACTGTCTTCAACTGCTGCACTTACGCGCACTTACCAATAAAGCACACTCACACCCCTCACCTCTTTGCTGTGGTTTGAACCCCCTTCTCCCCCCCCCCTCCACCTCTGATGCCACCTACCCCCTTTGCTTTGCCCCAACCTGTGGCTTCCTATGGTATGGTATGGTCTTTACCCCCCTTTCCCTCCCCCCCCCCAGGGCTACGCCAGCTACGCCTCCCTGCGCACCTGCGGCGGCTCGCTGGCCGGCTCCCCCTCCGCGGTGGTCACCTTCCTGGGGCGCCTGGCGGAGGAGGTGCGGCCGCTGGCGGAGCAGGAGCTGCAGGTGCATGAGGGGGGGGGGAGGGGGGAAAGGGGGTGGAGGGAGAAAAACAATAAATGAATGAAACAACGAGTCCCAATCCCATAGCCCGACTCATGCAGTGAGGGGGAAGAGGGATGTGTGTGTATTGGGTATGACACTTAGGGGAAGGGAGGGGAAAGATAGGCGGTAGCCGAGAAGGGGAATTTGAGGAAATGAGGGGCGAGGAGGGGCTAGTACGAGGGAGGGAGGGAGGGAGGGAGAGACGTGTGTCGGCAACAACACCCCCGCACCCCCCATCCGCCCCCCCCCACTTTCCTTGCCCGTTGCCCCACCTTCCTCGCCTACTCCGCACCGCCCACCCGCACCTCCCATCTGCACCCCTCCCTCTTCCCTCTTCAACAGGCCCTAGGCCAGCTCAAGGCCGCCCACATGCGCAGCGGCGCCTCCTCCCCCTCCTCCTCCTCCTCCAAACACCCCTTTGGCGGGAAATACGACATGTACGGCAAGTACGGCATCGCCCCATGGGACGTCGAATACTACGCCGCCCTCGCGCGCCGCCAGCGCGTCACCAGCCCCCCCACCGCGCTCCTCCGCTACACCGCCGTACCCTCCGTCCTCTCCGGCATTCGTACCCTCCTCGCAAACCTCTTCGGCATGGACCTCTCCATCTCCCCCGCCGCTCCGGGGGAGGGCTGGGCTCCCGGGGTTCTCCGCTGCGACGCCTCCCTCCCGCAGCTCGGCCCCCTGGGTACAATCTACCTGGACCTGGGCGACCGACCTGGCAAGTACCCCTCCGCGGTGACCTTCCCCATCACATGCGGACGTCAGCTGCCCGCGGACCGCAACCCCCGGCAGCAGCAGCCGCAGCAGCAGCAGCAGGGGCCGCCCCGGCAGCTGCCAGTGATGGCTCTGCTCGCGAGCGCCTCGGGCAGGTGTCCCGCCACGGGGCAGCAGGCGCTGTCGTACCGTGAGCTGCGGGTGCTGCTGCATGAGCTGGGGCACTGCTGCCACAGCCTGCTGAGCAGGACCAAGTACCAGCACCTGTGGGGGACGAGGTGAGGAGGGCGGGGAGGAGGGGGGGAAATTATAAATAAGTGCAACAACACAGTCTGAATCCCAGGTGCAGGGGGGTAAGGGCATGGGTTATGGGGTATCAACGTTTGCTGGTACTGTCTATGGGGTACTGTCTGTGTCATCCCTCACCCCACTGCTCACACCCTGACCTGTGCGCCCTCCCCTCCGGATCCCCCCCCCACCCCCACCCCCCTCGGCATGCAACTGCACCCCCCCCAGGTGCGCCCAGGACCTGGTGGAGGTTCCCTCGCACCTGTTCGAGCACTTTGCGAGCGACCCACGGGTCATGGCGGTGCTGGCTCGCGACCGCTCCGGAGCCGTCAGCAAGTCGGACCAGGGCGAGCCGCTGCCGGAGGGGCTGCTCAGGTGGGGGTGGGGGGAAGGGGGGAGACGGGGGCGATGGGCTTGGGGTTGGGTTTGATGGGTTCAGCGGCATGGCGTTTACCTCCTCTCCTACCCACTCCTCCTCCCCCTCCTTCCTTCATCTCTCTCCTCCCCCTTTCCTTGTCCCTCCTTCCCTTTGTCTTGCGGCACCCTGCCTCAATCCTTGGTTTTCTATGGTTTTGTCCCTCCCCCGTCCCCCCTCCCCCTCCCTCCCCCTCCCACTTATCTTTTATCTCCCCCCCCCCCGGCATGCAGGGAGCTCCTGTCCGGCCGCGCCACCACCGCCGCCCTCGAGCTACAGCAGCAGCTCGTCCTCTCCCTGGCCGACCAATGGTACCACGGGGAGCACCCCCCCGGCCTGCTCGACCCGCCCCCGCCCTCCGCCTCCGCCGCTTCCGGCTCCCTCTCCCTCTCCGACCTGGAGAGCTACAGCAGCATCAGCCGCGTGGCCAGTCTGCTTGCGGGGGTGGAGGCGGGTGCGGAGGCGGCGGGCCGGACCACCAGCGAGGTGTGGGGGCAGGCGGTGGAGACGGCGAGCAGTGTGCCGTACGTGCCGGGCACGAGTCCGGAGCTGAGGGTGGGGCACCTCGCGATTTATGGCGGCACGTACTACGGGTATGTGTATGCGCGGTGCCTGGCGGCGCAGCTGTGGCACACGACGGGACTAGCGGAGGCGCCCATGGACAGGGGGGCGGGTGAGTGGGGGCGGGGGGTCAAAGACCATATCAAACCATAGGAGACCACAAGTTAGGGCAAAACAATGGGGGTAGGAGTTGGCTGGGTGCCACAAGACAAAGGGTTGGTTAGTATTCCCTACCGATACCGGGTCCGCGTTGCTGATGAAAGGTTGACACTCCAGCGAGCGGGCCGAAGAAAGCTGGCTGTTCTAGGTGTCTATTGCTGGGATTGCTGGGCGGGGGGTGGGGGATGGGTGAGGGGGTGGGGGTGGTTGAAATAGGGTTTGGATGGGGAAAGGGAAGGGAACGAAAGCAAACCAGAGTTGGACATGTGGATTGCCCCCCACCAACCCCTCCGACCCACTCATTTCTTATCCTCCGCCGCCTCCCTCCACGTACCTCCCCTAACCTCCTCCTCTCCTCCCCCTTCCTGTCCTCTCCTCTCCCTTATCTGCAGGCAACCTGCTCCGAGACCGGCTGCTAGGCCCCGGAGGCTCCCTGGAGCCCCTTCACTTGATCGCCGGCCTCGCCGCTGCCACCGGTGGTGGCACCGGGAGCAGCGGCAACAGCAACGGTGCTGGCAGCAGCAGTAGCAACGGTAACGGTAACGGTAGCAACGGTAAACAGCAGCAGCGTGCGCCGGTTCGGGACCGAGAACAGCAGCGGCAGTTGCAAGCGGCGGAGCAGCAGCGGGGGCTGAGCAGTGCGCTTGGGGAGGGGCGGCTGCTGCAGGCGTTGGCTGGGGGGTACGCGCCGCGGCCGGATAGGTATCTGGAGGGGTTGGAGGCGGGGACGGCGGTGTGAGGGCGGACGGGTTGAAGGAGGAGGGCTGGGGGGTGGAAGTGTAGGTGTTTCGTTTGGCTGAGGCCTCGAGGGTTAAGGTGCGGTGAACCGGAGCATTAACTTGAATGGGTGGACGTTGAATGTGGCGGGAGAGGGGTTTGAGGGCTTGGAAAGGTGGGGAGGACGGACATACGAACATCGTGCGGTGTGGTGGGGCAGTTGAGTTGCTAGGGCATTCTGGGAGGTGCAATCGGGAAGGGGAAGGAAAGCTGAACGCGAAAGAGGTCGTACGGGTAATGTTGGTGTCTCGTGAGGCAATCAGGTTTGTGATCTCTGGACACGCAGCAGGGGGCTTGAGGGCTGGCTTGAACCGGATAGGAGGGTAGCTTGTACGGGGCTTGGATGCCCGGTGAGGCGAGAGAGAAGTTGGGGGAGGGGGTATGCGTTGTCTGGGGATTGATCCGAAGAAGCGGCGGATAGGCGCCCTGCCATGCCTTCGGTTAGGTGAGAAGATCTGCTCGTACCGTGCCCTGTTGGTGTCCTGGGGTTCTCGACATCCGGTGGGAACTGCCCGCTGTGCCAGGCGGCTTGTTTGCCCTCTCAGCGAACGTCGCTCTTGTTCCTTCTCTTTCGCCCAAATGTGGAAGATATGGCGCGGTGCGGTGTTGTTGCGATGGTGACTACCGGCAAGGGCGCGCGAAGGATTCCATGCTAACAATCCTCGCGGTGTCGCGATGTAGGGGCGTGCGGCTTTCCGGATATTCTTTAAGCGTTTTGTGAACAGCATTGCACCGACAAAACGCGGTTTGCAAGGGGGCTGGATGTCTTGGCTGCTTGGTTTCCTAGTCCTAGTCAATGTTGCTGGGGAGGCTTTGTCAAGTTTGCTGGGGTCCGGATGGGGTCCATGGGGCGTGAGCAGGCAGCAGCGGAAGCCGCTGTGGGGTCCTGGCTGACCCAGGTAGGGGACCCATGGCCTCGTCCTAGTACGCGAGGCCGCGGCTCTTTTCTTTCTTTGATCCCTCTAGACGTATACTGGTATGTATGGAGAGGCGTGCAATGGGCTTGTGTGGACCCTTCGTCTCATAGCGTAGCTTTGTTTGTTTTGCTCGAAAGGAAAGAACATATCTGTGCTAGGATTGATACCCGGTGAATCTGTTTGTCCCATTCCTGGCAAGTATATTCTGGTAGTAGTGCGCTCGGGCTGCTCGCCACGTAACCCAACACGTGTAAGAAAACACATGCAGCAAGGTTTCATGAATAGCGTGTCGTATCTTCGAGTCAGGCGTCAAGGCATGTACCGGCCCAAACGCCAATGCGCGGCCAGCTCGGACTACGCAAGCGGTGCGTGCTGCACCTCACGACCGACCTCTACGTCTGCACCTCTTGTCCATTATTATGTCGTACAAAGACGTAGATAGCAAGCAACACAAATTCGCATTCTACGTAGAAGGTGCGGGCACACGCCCCATCCTGCACCTCTCAGTTCGACATGCAAAGCCCGGCCACCTGAAAACACTACCAATACAAGAGGGCATATATGAAGCTGTAAGGGCGGTCATTGTGTAAGGGGGATATTGAACCATGTTTCCTGTTTGAGCAGAGAGCGTCGAGATACTCCTACCGCCGCTACGCATCCAACCAGCCAGCCAGCCGACGTCACAGAACTCATCCAGCTATGCCCCCCTCTTCCTTCCTCTCCGGGTTGAGAGGCCTCCGGACGTGAGAAGAGTGTGAAAAAAACAACGCTCGCAGCCACAGGCGACCGCGTACTCGCCGCTGCATGCCGGCCGCATGCACGTCGTACCGTCATGCCCAGCCTCACACACGCACCACACGCGGCAGTGTGACAAACAGTGAGACAAACACCTGCACAGCCCCAACTTCCTGCGCTTCCACCAAACACATGGTTGCAGGGCAGGAAGGGAAGGCGGGTCGCTGCCACCAGCTCACCTCCATGCCTCGGGTCACAGCCCGATCGTCGCATGGTAGTACATGCCGGCATGTCACACATGCCATCCACATGCTTCAGGAGGTTAGGTATGATGTCCCCATATCGCCTTTCAAGCGACCCTTCCTGTACGTCACACACGAACACACGCACGCAGTACGTTCCGGCTCGGGCCCAGTTTTCTTAACGCACGCAAGTTCCCTGCATGAACCACAACTCAGGAAAATAAAGCTCCTACAGCACCTGCGGCTGCGTCTCAAGAACTGGCACCCGGCAGTACAATCCACCCCCCACTCCCCCCCCACTCCCCCCCCACACACACCGCCACAGACAACAACATGTAGCCCTGCAAATGCTTTGTTTGTTTGGATCATGAATCTATACACAAGGGAATCGGACTGATTGCGTCAGCTGACTCCAAATCAGCCGACTGGCAGAGATATGCACACACAGTTGCGGACCGCGATTTCGACCCATGGGTCATACTGGCGCCACAGTTAAGCAAACAAGACTGGAAAGATGCGTTATGGCCACGCACGGGCAGACACCCCCTCCGCCAAGCAACCCCACAAGCTCCAGCAGAGCGCCGCTGCAGTTCCATTCAGGAAACCTGGCAAGAAACCGCAATTCGTAAAAACCTCCTGCACGCCGCCTGTGTGAACACCTGCCCTGTCACGCCAGTGTGTAATCGCGCCTGCCAACAGATCAGCTACACCTGCTGCGCCAAAAACGTCCTGGCAATGCACCCCCCACCGATGATATGACATGGTCTTTGACCCACCCATCCTCCTACCTCGGGGCCTCCGCAGCTGAGGACACAACAGCATCCCGACATGGGTAATCCACTCCACCTGCATCCACCTCCCAATCACAATGTCACCCTTACTCGCCAGTACACAACCACAGCACGCCTCAACTCGCGGCCAGTTTTGTTAACAATGGGTCACACAACGGCTTCCCATGCAGCCCCCCATCCCCCTCAGTGGGCCGCTGCCGCCGCCCGTGCCCCTCCCGTCGACAGCGCCGTGGGGGAGGTGGCTCCCCCCAGTGCTGCATGCGCGGAGGCGCCTGTGAGGTCGGGCAGCGAGAGGCGGCCGGTGGACTGCCAGGTAGCTACCTGCTGCAGGGTGCGCGCGTTGAGGCGGCGCTCGGTCTCGGTCATGGGCTTGGCGGCCTCGCGGCGGCGCATGGCGGCGTCTCGGAGCTGTGGTGAGGGAGGTGGGGAAGGAGGAGAGTTAGGGAAAGAGGAGGGTTAGGGAAAGAGGAGGGTTAGGGAACAAGAAGCTGTGAGGATTGAGATATCATGGGTTGTTGATGCGGAGGGTTTAGGAATGAAGTGAGTCAGGACGTAGAGGACGGGCAACGGGTTCACGGTTCACTACCACTACCGGTAGCGCTGGCTTCCTCCTCTCCTGCTGCTGCTGCAGCCCACCTGAGCCTCAATCTCCTGCCGGAACTTGAGTTTCTGCTCCTGAAGTGCCGCCTTGCGCGCCTTCTCCGCCTCCTCCGCCGCTCGAACCTTGGCGGCGACACTGGCGGCGTAGGCCTGGGGGAGGAGGGGAGGAGGGCGGTAGGAGGAGGAGAGGAGGGCGGGAGGGAGGAGAGGTGGGAGAATTTAAAAGTACGGGAAGGAGGGACGTTGTTAATGCCTGATGATGTCAACGACGCGTAATGAGCGAGCCGGAATCGGAAGCCATGGAAGCCTTCATCACACAGCCTGCGCTGCTCCCTCTTCATTCCTTCCTACCTGTTCCCTCTGTCTCCCATTCCTCAGTACCACCCCGCCTCCCCTCCGCGCTCACCTCCTCCTCCTGCTTCATCTTCATGCGTGCCGCCTCCCGCTCCCGCAGCTGCCCCGCCACCGCCTGAGTCACCTGCTTGGCAACCTCCTTCTGACGAGCCACACGCCGCTCCTGCAGGGAGGCAGGGGTTAGGGGGGGGGGTAAAAATAAGGAAAACTGACGAACTGGATGACGGGGCTTCTCCATGGGTTGCTCTCCATGGGGCCGAGGGGGGGAGACGGGAGAGAGCATGTAGAGGCGTGGTTATGGTTGCGACCAGGCGAGACCTGTGAAGGCACGCAACTACGTGTCAAACTGAGAGAAAATGTCCGCGTGTGCGCCGCGCAGCGTCCCGCCTGGCCTTCCCCCCTCCCCTCCTGAGCCATGCCTCGTCAATTTTCCTTATTTATACTCCCCTGCTCAACCATGATGACGCCTAACCACCCTGTCAGTTAGTTGTTCTTCACCTCACCTCCTCCGCCGCTCGCTCGTCCTCCCGCTGTTTGAAGTACCGCTCCACAAGCGGCGTCTCCAGCCACCTCCGCCGCGCCTCCCCCTGCCGGTCAGCCGCCTCCTGCAGCCGGTCCTGCACCCGCTTGATGCGCTCAAGCCTGCAGGCGGAGGGGCGGGGCGGGGCAGTGGGAGGTGGGGGGGGAGTGCAGCAGCAGGCGGGGCAGTGGGAGGTGGGGGGGGAGTGCAGCAGCAGGCGGGGCAGTGGGAGGTGGGGGGGAAGTGCAGCAGCAGGCGGGGCAGTGGGAGGTGGGGGGGAAGTGCAGCAGCAGGTGGGGCAGTGGGAGGTGGGGGGGAAGTGCAGCAGCAGGCGGGGCAGTGGGAGGTGGGGGGGAAGTGCAGCAGCAGGCGGGGCAGTGGGAGGTGGGGGGGAAGTGCAGCAGCAGGCGGGGCAGTGGGAGGTGGGGGGGAGTGCAGCAGCAGGCGGGGCAGTGGGAGGTGGGGGGGAAGTGCAGCAGCAGGCGGGGCAGTGGGAGGTGGGGGGGAAGTGCAGCAGCAGGTGGGGCAGTGGGAGGTGGGGGGGAAGTGCAGCAGCAGGCGGGGCAGTGGGAGGTGGGGGGGAAGTGCAGCAGCAGGCGGGGCAGTGGGAGGTGGGGGGGAAGTGCAGCAGCAGGCGGGGCAGTGGGAGGTGGGGGGGAGTGCAGCAGCAGGCGGGGCAGTGGGAGGTGGGGGGGAAGTGCAGCAGCAGGCGGGGCAGTGGGAGGTGGGGGGGAAGTGCAGCAGCAGGCGGGGCAGTGGGAGGTGGGGGGGAAGTGCAGCAGCAGGCGGGGCAGTGGGAGGTGGGGGGAAGTGCAGCAGCAGGCGGGGCAGTGGGAGGTGGGGGGGAAGTGCAGCAGCAGGCGGGGCAGTGGGAGGTGGGGGGGAAGTGCAGCAGCAGGCGGGGCAGTGGGAGGTGGGGGGGAAGTGCAGCAGCAGGCGGGGCAGTGGGAGGTGGGGGGGAAGTGCAGCAGCAGGTGGGGCAGTGGGAGGTGGGGGGAAGTGCAGCAGCAGGCGGGGCAGTGGGAGGTGGGGGGGGAGTGCAGCAGCAGGCGGGGCAGTGGGAGGTGGGGGGGAAGTGCAGCAGCAGGCGGGGCAGTGGGAGGTGGGGGGGAAGTGCAGCAGCAGGTGGGGCAGTGGGAGGTGGGGGGAAGTGCAGCAGCAGGCGGGGCAGTGGGAGGTGGGGGGGAAGTGCAGCAGCAGGCGGGGCAGTGGGAGGTGGGGGGGAAGTGCAGCAGCAGGCGGGGCAGTGGGAGGTGGGGGGGGAGTGCAGCAGCAGGCGGGGCAGTGGGAGGTGGGGGGGAGTGCAGCAGCAGGCGGGGCAGTGGGAGGTGGGGGGGGAGTGCAGCAGCAGGCGGGGCAGTGGGAGGTGGGGGGAAGTGCAGCAGCAGGCGGGGCAGTGGGGGGTGGGGGGGAAGTGCAGCAGCAGGCGGGGCAGTGGGAGGTGGGGGGGAAGTGCAGCAGCAGGCGGGGCAGTGGGAGGTGGGGGGGAAGTGCAGCAGCAGGCGGGGCAGTGGGAGGTGGGGGGGAAGTGCAGCAGCAGGCGGGGCAGTGGGAGGTGGGGGGGAAGTGCAGCAGCAGGCGGGGCAGTGGGAGGTGGGGGGGAAGTGCAGCAGCAGGCGGGGCAGTGGGAGGTGGGGGGGAAGTGCAGCAGCAGGCGGGGCAGTGGGAGGTGGGGGGGAAGTGCAGCAGCAGGCGGGGCAGTGGGAGGTGGGGGGGAAGTGCAGCAGCAGGCGGGGCAGTGGGAGGTGGGGGGGAAGTGCAGCAGCAGGCGGGGCAGTGGGAGGTGGGGGGGAAGTGCAGCAGCAGGCGGGGCAGTGGGAGGTGGGGGGGAGTGCAGCAGCAGGCGGGGCAGTGGGAGGTGGGGGGGAGTGCAGCAGCAGGCGGGGCAGTGGGAGGTGGGGGGGGAGTGCAGCAGCAGGCGGGGCAGTGGGAGGTGGGGGGAAGTGCAGCAGCAGGCGGGGCAGTGGGGGGTGGGGGGGAAGTGCAGCAGCAGGCGGGGCAGTGGGAGGTGGGGGGGAAGTGCAGCAGCAGGCGGGGCAGTGGGAGGTGGGGGGGAAGTGCAGCAGCAGGCGGGGCAGTGGGAGGTGGGGGGGAGTGCAGCAGCAGGCGGGGCAGTGGGAGGTGGGGGGGAGTGCAGCAGCAGGCGGGGCAGTGGGAGGTGGGGGGGAGTGCAGCAGCAGGCGGGGCAGTGGGAGGTGGGGGGGAGTGCAGCAGCAGGCGGGGCAGTGGGAGGTGGGGGGGGAGTGCAGCAGCAGGCGGGGCAGTGGGAGGTGGGGGGGAAGTGCAGCAGCAGGCGGGGCAGTGGGAGGTGGGGGGGAAGTGCAGCAGCAGGCGGGGCAGTGGGAGGTGGGGGGGAAGTGCAGCAGCAGGCGGGGCAGTGGGAGGTGGGGGGGGAGTGCAGCAGCAGGCGGGGCAGTGGGAGGTGGGGGGGAGTGCAGCAGCAGGCGGGGCAGTGGGAGGTGGGGGGGGAGTGCAGCAGCAGGCGGGGCAGTGGGAGGTGGGGGGGAAGTGCAGCAGCAGGCGGGGCAGTGGGAGGTGGGGGGGAAGTGCAGCAGCAGGCGGGGCAGTGGGAGGTGGGGGGGAAGTGCAGCAGCAGGCGGGGCAGTGGGAGGTGGGGGGGAAGTGCAGCAGCAGGCGGGGCAGTGGGAGGTGGGGGGGAAGTGCAGCAGCAGGCGGGGCAGTGGGAGGTGGGGGGGAGTGCAGCAGCAGGCGGGGCAGTGGGAGGTGGGGGGGAGTGCAGCAGCAGGCGGGGCAGTGGGAGGTGGGGGGGAGTGCAGCAGCAGGCGGGGCAGTGGGAGGTGGGGGGGAGTGCAGCAGCAGGCGGGGCAGTGGGAGGTGGGGGGGGAGTGCAGCAGCAGGCGGGGCAGTGGGAGGTGGGGGGGAGTGCAGCAGCAGGCGGGGCAGTGGGAGGTGGGGGGGGAGTGCAGCAGCAGGCGGGGCAGTGGGAGGTGGGGGGGAGTGCAGCAGCAGGCGGGGCAGTGGGAGGTGGGGGGGGAGTGCAGCAGCAGGCGGGGCAGTGGGAGGTGGGGGGGAGTGCAGCAGCAGGCGGGGCAGTGGGAGGTGGGGGGGAGTGCAGCAGCAGGCGGGGCAGTGGGAGGTGGGGGGGGAGTGCAGCAGCAGGCGGGGCAGTGGGAGGTGGGGGGGAGTGCAGCAGCAGGCGGGGCAGTGGGAGGTGGGGGGGAGTGCAGCAGCAGGCGGGGCAGTGGGAGGTGGGGGGGAGTGCAGCAGCAGGCGGGGCAGTGGGAGGTGGGGGGGGAGTGCAGCAGCAGGCGGGGCAGTGGGAGGTGGGGGGGGAGTGCAGCAGCAGGCGGGGCAGTGGGAGGTGGGGGGGGAGTGCAGCAGCAGGCGGGGCAGTGGGAGGTGGGGGGGAAGTGCAGCAGCAGGCGGGGCAGTGGGAGGTGGGGGGGAAGTGCAGCAGCAGGCGGGGCAGTGGGAGGTGGGGGGGAAGTGCAGCAGCAGGCGGGGCAGTGGGAGGTGGGGGGGAAGTGCAGCAGCAGGCGGGGCAGTGGGAGGTGGGGGGGAAGTGCAGCAGCAGGCGGGGCAGTGGGAGGTGGGGGGGAAGTGCAGCAGCAGGCGGGGCAGTGGGAGGTGGGGGGGGAGTGCAGCAGCAGGCGGGGCAGTGGGAGGTGGGGGGGGAGTGCAGCAGCAGGCGGGGCAGTGGGAGGTGGGGGGGAAGTGCAGCAGCAGGCGGGGCAGTGGGAGGTGGGGGGGAAGTGCAGCAGCAGGCGGGGCAGTGGGAGGTGGGGGGGAGTGCAGCAGCAGGTGGGGCAGTGGGAGGTGGGGGGGGAAGTGCAGCAGCAGGCGGGGCAGTGGGAGGTGGGGGGGGAGTGCAGCAGCAGGCGGGGCAGTGGGAGGTGGGGGGGGAGTGCAGCAGCAGGCGGGGCAGTGGGAGGTGGGGGGGAGTGCAGCAGCAGGCGGGGCAGTGGGAGGTGGGGGGGGAGTGCAGCAGCAGGCGGGGCAGTGGGAGGTGGGGGGGAAGTGCAGCAGCAGGCGGGGCAGTGGGAGGTGGGGGGGGAGTGCAGCAGCAGGCGGGGCAGTGGGAGGTGGGGGGGAAGTGCAGCAGCAGGCGGGGCAGTGGGAGGTGGGGGGGGAGTGCAGCAGCAGGCGGGGCAGTGGGAGGTGGGGGGGAGTGCAGCAGCAGGCGGGGCAGTGGGGGGTGGGGGGGAAGTGCAGCAGCAGGCGGGGCAGTGGGAGGTGGGGGGGAAGTGCAGCAGCAGGCGGGGCAGTGGGAGGTGGGGGGGAAGTGCAGCAGCAGGCGGGGCAGTGGGAGGTGGGGGGGGAGTGCAGCAGCAGGCGGGGCAGTGGGAGGTGGGGGGGAGTGCAGCAGCAGGCGGGGCAGTGGGAGGTGGGGGGGGAGTGCAGCAGCAGGCGGGGCAGTGGGAGGTGGGGGGGAGTGCAGCAGCAGGCGGGGCAGTGGGGGGTGGGGGGGAAGTGCAGCAGCAGGCGGGGCAGTGGGAGGTGGGGGGGAAGTGCAGCAGCAGGCGGGGCAGTGGGAGGTGGGGGGGAAGTGCAGCAGCAGGCGGGGCAGTGGGAGGTGGGGGGGAAGTGCAGCAGCAGGCGGGGCAGTGGGGGGGGTGGGGGGGAAGTGCAGCAGCAGGCGGGGCAGTGGGAGGTGGGGGGGGAGTGCAGCAGCAGGTGGGGCAGTGGGAGGTGGGGGGAAGTGCAGCAGCAGGTGGGGCAGTGGGAGGTGGGGGGGAAGTGCAGCAGCAGGCGGGGCAGTGGGAGGTGGGGGGAAGTGCAGCAGCAGGTGGGGCAGTGGGAGGTGGGGGGGAGTGCAGCAGCAGGCGGGGCAGTGGGAGGTGGGGGGGGAGTGCAGCAGCAGGCGGGGCAGTGGGAGGTGGGGGGGGAGTGCAGCAGCAGGCGGGGCAGTGGGAGGTGGGGGGGAAGTGCAGCAGCAGGCGGGGCAGTGGGAGGTGGGGGGGAAGTGCAGCAGCAGGCGGGGCAGTGGGAGGTGGGGGGGGAGTGCAGCAGCAGGCGGGGCAGTGGGAGGTGGGGGGGAGTGCAGCAGCAGGCGGGGCAGTGGGAGGTGGGGGGGGAGTGCAGCAGCAGGCGGGGCAGTGGGAGGTGGGGGGGAGTGCAGCAGCAGGCGGGGCAGTGGGGGGTGGGGGGGAAGTGCAGCAGC